CTATCCTCTTGCCTTGGCCTCCCAAAGCATTGGGATTACAGGCATGAGCCACCTCATCCAGCCCTGCTGCAAGGTTCTTAACTCAGGGTCCATGGACCTTCTGGATAGAATCCAGGGAAATTTAACATTTCCTTCAATTATGGCTGTAGGCAAACATTCTATTCCTACCACTTGCCTGCTATGCCTGTCCTAATCCTTGACTCTCTAAAGTCATGAACCCTGTTAGATTTCAGCTACCCTCAAATAGTAGGTGTTCAATATTCCTCCAAATGTTCTAAATAAAAACTTAGTAGACTGGGCCAGTACAATGAACAGGGTTGTAATTGGTTTGACGAATGCAAGATCAGGACTGTGGTAGGAGCAGAAGGAAACTTGTTCCAAGCCTGTGAGAAATTTGCCCTGGGTCCAATCCCACAACCTGTTCCAATCCAGTTTCATTTGTCATCCTCATTTACGACTAATGAATTTGCTTCCATGATGGAAAACGTTAAGAACTCACTCTGGCCTGAGGTCACCCTACAAAGGAGCAATCTCAGCTGCCCGGAATGTTAGTGTTCAGTAAGGGCCACACCCCTTGCCTTTTCAGTAATTCCTCCTATTACAAAATTCCAGATGCATCCACATTGTTGATAGGAAATTTTGTTTAAAAAATACATTTCTTAGGCCGGGGGCGGTAGCTCACACCTGTAATCCCAGCACTTTGGGAGGCCGAGGCGGGTGGATCACGAGGTCAGGAGTTCAAGACCAGCCTGGCCAACATGGTGAAACCCCCATCTCTACTAAAAATACAAAAAAATTATCCAGGCGTGGTGGCATGCACTTGTAGTCCCAGCTACTAGGGAGGCTGAGGCAGGAGAATCGCTTGAACCTGGGAGGCAGAGGTTGCAGTGAGCCGAGATGACGCCACTGCACTCCAGTCTGGGTGACAGAGCGAGACTCCATCAAAAAAATAAATAAATAAATAAATAAATATTTTGTGGGGCCTGGTGGCTCATGGTTATAATTCCGGCACTGTGGGAGGCTAAGGCGGGTGGATCTCCTGAGCCCAGGAGTTAAAGACCAGCCTGGGTAATGTAGGGAGACGCCATCACTATGAAAAATATTAACATAAGCCAGGTGTGGTGACACATGGCTGTAGTCCCTGCTATTTAAGAGGCTGAGGTAGGAAGATTGCTTGAACCCAGGAGGTTGAGTACCCTAGTCTGGACAACAGAGTGAAACCCTATTTCAAGAAAATACACACACAAACAAATCCCACATTTCTTTTTTCTCCTTCCTTCCTTCCTTCCTTCCTTCCTTCCTTCCTTCCTTCCTTCCTTCCTTCCTTCCCTCCCTCCCTCCCTCCCTCCCTCCCTCCCTCCCTCCCTCCTTCCTTCCTTCCTTCCTTCCTTCCTTCCTTCCTTCCTTCCTTCCTTCCTTCCTTTTTTTTCTGTTGCTCAGGCTGGTGTCCAGTGGCGTGATCTCAGCTCACTGCAAATTGTGCCTCTCAGGTTCAAGCAATTCTCCTGCCTCAGCCTCTGGAGTAGCTGGGATTACTCCTTTTCAAATTAAAAAAAAAAAAATTAAGGGGGAAATAAAGCCAGGCATGGTGGCTCACACCTGTAATCCCAGCACTTTGGGAGGCCAAGGTGGTTGGATCACCTGAGGTCAGGAGTTCAAGACCAGCCTGGCCAACATGGCGAAACCCTCTCTACTAAAAATACAAAAATTAGCTGGGTGTGGTGGTGGGTGCTTGTAATCCTGGCTACTCAGGAGGTTGAGGCAGGAGAATCGCTTGAACCTGGGAGGTGGATTGCATCACTGCACTCCAGCTTGGGTGACAGAGTGAGACTCCATATTGGGGAAAAAAAAAAGCGAGAGTAAATATATTTTATTTTGGTTTTGGTCTTGTAAAGAAATGACAGGTCGGGCACAGATGTTCATGGTTGTAATCCCAGCACTTTGGGAAGAAAATATTATTAAAATAATAATTATTTTTACTTTTGTAGAGGCGGGGCTTCACCATGTTGTCCAGGCTGTCCTGTACTCCTGAGCTCAAGCAATCCTCCTGCTCCTGTGAACCACTGCGCCTGGCTGACGCTGAACATTTTTAAAAGTAAACCTTTGAGTATTGAGGAAATGTGTGCATAGGATGCAGTCCCAGATTATAAATCAGCTTGACGCTGGGCACGGTGGCTCACGCCTGTAATCCCAACACTGGGAGGGTGAGGCAGGCAGATCACTTGAGGTCAGTTCTTTTTTTTTTTGAGACGGAGTCTCGCTCTGTCACCCAGGCTGGAGTGCAGTGGCCAGATCTCAGCTCACTGCAAGCTCCGCCCCCCGGGTTCCCGCCATTCTCCTGACTCAGCCTCCCGAGTAGCTGGGACTACAGGCGCCGCCACCACGCCCCGCTAGTTTTTTGTATTTTTTTTAGTAGAGACGGGGTTTCACCGTGTTCGCCAGGATGGTCTCGATCTCCTAACCTCGTGATCCGCCCGTCTCGGCCTCCCAAAGTGCTGGGATTACAGGCTTGAGCCACCGCGCCCGGCCTCTCTAGGTAAATCTTTAGAATTCTGTAGATTATCATTAGCAGGCAAAACCAGTAAGGGTGTTGTAACAGCTTTTAGTACCCAAGTTGCTTGTGTCAGAGGCGTTTAAACCAGAGCGACTCCATCTTGTATAGAGGCTGGGTAAAATGAGGCTGAGACCTACTGGGCTGCATTCCTAGATGGTTAGGCATTCTAAGTCACAGGATGAGATAGGAGGTCAGCACAAGATACACGTCATAAAGACCTTGCTGATAAAACAGTTTAAAGTAGCCGGCTAAAACCCACCAAACACCAGGATGGCCACGAGAGTGACCTCTGGTTGTCCTCACTGCTACACTCCCATCAGTACCATGACAGTTTACAAATGCCGTGGCGACATTAGGAAGTTACCCTATATGGTCTAAAACGGGGAGGCAAGAATAATCCACCCCTTGTTTGGTATATCATCAAGAAATACCCATAAAAATGGGCACCCAGCAGCCTTGGGGCTGCTCTGCCTAAGGAATAGCCATTCTTTCCTAATAAACTGGCTTTCACTTCATGGACTTGCCCTGAATTCTTTTTTTTTTTTCCTTTTGAGACGGAGTCTCACTTTGTCACCCAGGCTAGAGTGCAATGGCGCAATCTCGGTTCACTGCAACCGCCGTCTCCCTGATTCAAGCAATTCTGCCTCAGCCTCCCGAATAGCTGGGATTACAGGCACCCGCCACCACACCTGGCTAATTTGTGTATTTTTAGCAGACACGAGGTTTCACCACGTTGGCCAGGCTGGTTTAGAACTGACCGGGCGACAGAGCCAGACTCCGTCTCAAAAAAAAAAAAAAAAAAAAAAAAAAAAAAAGATTTACCTAGAGAGAAAAAAAGTAAAAAAACCACAATTCAAGACAGAAGAGCAAAATGATTCCAGCTGTGGAACTTGAAGAATAAAATCAACCAGGAGAATGCTTCATGTGAGTAGAAAGTGGACAGTATTTTCACCATGTAAGGAAATGTGATCTTTTGAAAAAAGAACGAGGTCATTTTGTATTTTAATAAAGGCGGTTCCTTCTTTCCACTTACCTGCTTCTAGGAGACAACAGCAAAGAGCTGGCCTTGTTTTAGCAACCTGCATTGCAGTTTACATTCCCTTTAATCCAAGGCAAAGATTAAAGAGATCCCCACCCCTGCTCCAAGTCAATCTTGAAGGGCAAGTGTCTGGTTCTTACCTCATCTACCCACACCTGGAACCTGTCATGGTATGGACAAGTTGAAACAGTAACTTGTTCCTCCACCCAACAGTCTCGCAATACTCCAAAAGAGCAAACAATACTTTTTTATTATTTTAATTATTTATTTTTTGAGATGGAGTTTTGCTCTAGCTGCCCAGGCTGGAGTGCAATGGCACAATCTTGGCTCACTGCAACCTCTGCATCCTGGGTTCAAATGAGTCTCCTCCCTTAGCCTTCTGAGTAGCTGGGATTACAGGCATGCGCTATCATGCCTGGCTAATTTTGTATTTTTTAAGTAGAGACGGGGTTTCTCCCTGTTGGTCAGGCTGGTCTTGAACTCCCGACCTCAGGTGATCTGCCCGCCTCAGCTTCCCAAAGTGCTGGGATTACAGGCGTTGAGCCACCGCGCCTGGCCAACGATATCTTTTTAAAATGGGGCACCTGCAGGCCGGGCGCAGTGGCTCAAGCCTGTAATCCCAGCACTTTGGGAGGCCAAGGTGGGCGGATCACGAGGTCAAGGGTTCAAGACCAGCCTGACCAACATGGAGCAATCCCGTCTCTACTAAAAATACAAAATTAGCAGGGCGTGGTGGCACATGCCTGTAATCCCAGCTACTCAGGAGACTGAGGCAGGAGAATCGCTTGAACCCGGGAGGCGGAGGTTGTGGTGAGCCAAGATCGGGCCATTGTACTCCAGCCTGGGCAACAAGAGCAAAACTCCCTCTCAAAAAAAAAAAAAAAAAAAAAAAAAAAGAATCAGTGCTTTTATAGAGCTTTTGACAAGGAGGCAGTACAGCAGTTAAGAGCACAGATATGGGGGTCAGAGAGATCTGGATTTAGATTTACTAGGTTGTGTATCAGCTGTGTGTTTTAGTTATGTGTGTATTTAGCTGTGCGTATTTCCTCTAAACAATGAGGTTAACAATGCCTATCCAATGTGGTGATTGTGAAAATGGGATAATGCACAAAAATACCTTAACATGATGTCTGGTAGATGGCAAAGAGGTAACTATTAAGATACCTCTGGTATTCACAGGTGACTCTACTAATGCAATACTTCTTAAAGGGACATTTAAACAACTACTGCTGTGATGTAGGGAATAGTCAAATATTTAGTTGAACACTCGCCTCTCAAGAACCACTTCTGGAATGTCGACAAGTTCCTTTAACCTCTCTCTGCCTCCCTTTCCTTACTTCCAAGTGGTGATAATGATTTGCCTGACAGAAATGCTGAGCGAAATCAGGTTAAAAACACTATGTAAACAACTGTAAAGGATTGCTTTTATTTTGAACTTAAGCTCAGAGGAAAAGAAACCAAAAGTATTTTAAATTTTATTCTATTTCTAGCACATTCTGTGAGGGCTTTAAAAAGAAATTTCTCTCTTTATAATTTTCCTTTCCTTTATTCTTTACAGAACAGTAAATCTGATTACTCAAGTTCTCAAAAATGAAAACTATATCTGGAATGTTTCAATTTTGCTCCCCCTGTTGGCCTGAGAGCAGGATAACACTGCCTGAGACTAACAATTCAAGACAATCTAAACATTTATTTTCATGGACTTGACTAACATAAAGACGTAATGGCATTCCACAGAAAGACCTAAACCACAGTTTCAGCTCTATCTTATATATATATATCTGACAATTAAAAGCAATATTTATGTCTAATTTTTAATTTTTAACTATTAGGGTTCAAATCTAGAAAATTATACAAAGGCTAGCTGCATGCCATTCATTTTTCAAAATAATTACTTTTCAAAAATTCTGCTGTTCCAAAATTACGGCTGAAATCCACTGAAAGCACCCAAACTTGCAACTCCTATCATTATTTTTGTTTTGCTACCCCTAATTTTTACATTTTTTTTTTTTCTTTTTGAGATGGAGTTTTGTTCTTGTTGCCCAGGCTGGAGTGCAGTGGCATGATCTCGGCTCACCGCAACCTCTGCCTCCCAGGTTCAAGCGATTCTCCTGCCTCAGCCTCCCAAGTAGCTGGGATTACAGGTATGTACCACCACACCTGGCTAATTTTTGTATTTTTAGTAGAGATGGGGTTTTGCCATGTTGGCGAGGCTGGTCTTGAACTCCAGACCTCAGGTGATCCTTCCACCTTGGCCTCCCAAAGTGCTAGGATTACAGGCATGAGCCACCATGCCTGGCCAACAATTTACTTTTACACTTAAAAGTTATATACACTGGCCAGGTGAGGTGGCTTACGCCTGTAATCCCAGCACTTTGGGAGGCTGAGGCGGGCAGATCACCTGAGGTCAGGAGTTCAAGACTAGCCTGACACGATGTGGAGAAACCCCGTCTCTACTAAAAATACAAAGTTAGTTGGGTATGGTGGCACATGCCTGTAATCCCAGCTACTCGGTAGACTGAGGCAGGAGAATTGCTTAAACCCGGGAGGCAGAGGTTGTGGTGAGCCGAGATCATTCCATTGCACTCCAGCCTGGGCAACAAGAGTGAAACTCCATCTCAAAAAATCAAAAAACAAAACAAAACAAAACAAAAGTTATATACACTGTTTTACCTGTGAATCACTTTTTTGTATTCAAAGTCTTAGATTATGTATATGAAAACTAATTTATTAAACCTCTGTACACAAAGATGAACATACCTGTACAGCAACCATATATGAAGAATGAAGTTACAAAAAAGTAAAAGTACTACTAAAACTGACGCATGTAAATCACTTATAAAAATACCCCAAATGGGATAAAGCTGCTCATCCCTGATTTTTCTCATTTGGTTGTAGGAGTTGAAACATGAATTTAAAATGGTAGAATTTTTTCTTTTAAAAAGTGATATATTAAACTTATATACAGGATAATTAGCAAAATGTAGAAAGGGAAAACAATGTACAAAAGACAGATAAAAACCATCACTCTCGACGGACAGTCACAATCCAAAAATAGTATAAACCTTAACAAACTCTCTCTAAACCAGGTCATATTCACATCTCCCCCCAAGTTTTGTCAGTGAGAATAAAATATAGTGAACTAGTGAGCTCAGTCTTTCTTTAAAATAGGCTTGACTTTGGAACACGAACCTTGGATAGATTTTTAAAAATGGGAGGTACAAACAGGAAAACCATTCTATCTCTCCACTTAATTAGTACTAATTAACGGAACAAAGTTATTAAATAGCTCTCAGTGCTAAGTCAAGCCGTTATTCAGAGGCCTTTTTGTTTTTCTGCTGGTTTCGGGGTGAGTTCTTTAACAAGCTTCTTATCCTGAGGTACATTCCAGTAGATTCTGCCATATTCTCAAATTCAAATGGCGTGATTCCAGTTGCAAATTTGCTCATGTCAGGTATAGGGCTATGAATCTTAGTGGCCGTTGAAGGACTGGTGTCTGCAGGAAAGAGCTTCCGGCTGTCCCCATTGCTGACGTCACAGTCTGGTACGACACTGCCATTATCAAGGGGGGCACCTTCAGGGTTTACTGGAGCCAACTCTGCCTTTTCCTTCTGACAAAGTGATGTCACCTCAGCATCTGGACTGGAGGCATGTCCAGCTTCTGACTTCTTTGTAAAAATTTCTGGCACCTCAGGCTCATCCAGCATCTGCTTTTCAGATGTTTTTCCCTCTGGGACAGGGAGGTCCAGCTCATTTGGACAAGGTGATGAGGCAACGGAATTCCCAGTTAAAGGTGTGTCCACAGGAATGTCAGAGTCGCTGTTTACACTCTCGGCCTGCTCGAGAGCTGCCCAGATCCGCCTCTGCTGTTCTTCAAGTTCTTCTAGAGTCAGTGTGTCCTCATCCACAGCTCCAGATGCTGTTCTGGTCTGGGGTGAGTCACTGGGAGTCAGCGGCGGGGTGCCCTTGGGGAGTGGAGGGGTGAAGATGGGCGGAGGAGTTCCCCGGGGGAGTGGAGGAGTGTCAGGAGGTAATGGTGGTTGAAACTGAAAAGTTTCGCTGCTCAGAGAACCATGTGGTACCTCCACATCTGAAGTAAGAAAGTTAAGAGATACTTTAGAACTTGTAATAGCATTTGGTTTTACTAAAATTTGTTATTTGCACTCAGGTGTATCCAGATATTCAATGGCCAAAAATAACTGGCTTAAGAGGCGGGACATTCTGGATTCTCAGGTGCCATGACCATTACCTGGTGTCCTCAGTCCACCTGAAAAGATCTGCAGGGAGACCTGTCAGGTTCTTCTGGTGCTAGAGGATATCCCTTGGGAGATCCATTTCTGTGCTGTGTGCATCATTTTAGATTGAGGAAATATGAGCAATTGCATGGAGACTTCAGAATTTCAAGGTAGTGCACTCTACCCAAAAATTCATGGCAGAATGCAGTAGGAAATTTGACCGGAGGTGCAGGCTGGCTACTGAGTGGGTGGAAAGCTAATGGGGAGGAAGTGAGGGGCAAGCCAAGTGTACACCTTGGGTTATTTCCTAGCTTTTTCTTTTTTTTTTTTTTTTTGAGACAGAGTCTTGCTCTGTCTCCCAGGCTGGAGTGCAGTGGCACAATCTCAGCTCAGTGCACCCCCCGCCTCCCAGTCAAGTGATTCTCCTGCCTCAGCCTCCGGAGTAGCTGGGATTACAGTTGTGTGCCACTACGCCTGGCAAATTTTTGTATTTTTAGTAGAGATGAAGTTTCAACATGTTGGCCAGGCTGGTCTCGAACTCCTGACCTCAGGTGATCCACCTGCCTTGGCCTCCCAAAGTGCTGGGATTATAGGCGTGAGCCACTGCGCCCAGCCTAATTCCCCAATTCTTCTTTTTTTTTTTTGAGGCGGAGTCTTGCTCTGTTGCCCAGGCTGGAGTGCAGTGGCGTGATGTCAGCTGGCTGCAACCTCTGCCTCCTGGGTTCAAGCAGTTCTCCTGCCTCATCCTTTCAAGTAGCTGGGATTACACCGTACGCCAACATGTTCGGCTAATTTTTTGTATTTTTAGTAGAGATGAGGTTTCACCATGTGGGCCAGGCTGATTTCGAACTCCTCACCTCAAGTGATCCGCCCACGTCGGCCTCCCAAAGTGCTGAGATTACAGGTGAGAGCCACTTTGCCTGGCCCCCAATTCTTATCTCTAATCTAGATTGCTCACCTGAACTGCAGGTTCACCTATCTAACTGCCCACTGACTATCATCACCTATACGTTCTACACACACAACCTGTTCAAAACAAATGATCTCTTCCTAAAATGAGGACTATTCTCCCATCTGCTATTCTCACTAATGGCACCACCAGTGGATCTGCTTGTCATTTGAGAGTACTCTCTTTCCTTCCATCCATCCCCCAGGTCTTTGGCTCTTTGGGGTGCATGCTCTCCTGCTGGCTGTCATAGCCGCTACCTTGCTTCAGGCCCATTACCATTTGCCAAGAACATCAGAATCACCCCGACCTCTGGATTCATCTTCCTTGTGTCTGTCCTCCAAACCGCTGCCAGACTCATCACAAGTCTGGCCCTATAACCCTTCCCATCTCCACTGGAAACCCTTTAGTGCCTGCCCAGACCCCACAGGATGAAGTCCAATCTTCCTTTTTTTTTTTTTTTTTTTTTTTTGAGACAGAGTCTCGCTGTGTCCCCGGGCTGGAGTGCAGTGGCCGGATCTCAGCTCACTGCAAGCTCCGCCTCCCGGGTTTACTCCATTCTCCTGCCTCAGCCTCCCGAGTAGCTGGGACTACAGGCGCCCGCCACGTCGCCCGGCTAGCTTTTTGTATTTTTTAGTAGAGACGGGGTTTCACCCTGTTAGCCAGGATGGTCTCGATCTCCTGACCTAGTGATCCGCCCGTCTCGGCCTCCCAAAGTGCTGGGATTACAGGCTTGAGCCACCGCGCCCGGCCGAAGTCCAATCTTCCTCCATGGCCCTCTAGGATACAGTTTCCCTGCTTCCATCATGTTATCTCCTACTGCCTGGCTCAAACTCCAGCTGTCACCCTGCTGCTGGCCTGATGTGCTGTGAAGTTTCACTGTCCTGCATCTGCACTTCCCACTGTCTCAAATGCCCTCCTCCTCATTTCCTTGGTAAATCTCTGCATTCTTCCCTCAACAAGCAGTTCAGAGTTACCCTATGACTTCATTCAGCACAGATGCTGTTTTTCCTCTGTGTCACCATTGCTCTGTGGCAGCAATAGGTAATACTATTGTTCTGTAGGTATCACTGTGGGCCACCACATTTATATGAGAATGATGTTTACACATCTGCAATCCCGAGGTGACACAGAGTGGTAACTAGGGCAGCAATACTGTCTTATTAAGCTTTCTGTCCTCAGAGTCTAGTAGGGGGTCTGAACTTTATTCTATAGACAATAAGATTTGTGAGGAGAATAACATACTCTCACTTAGAAGTCAACACACGGCCCAGCATGGTGGCTCATGCCAGTAACATTGGGAGGCTGAGGCAGGCAGATTGCTTAAACTCAGGAGTTCAAGACCAGCCTGGGCAACAAAGTAAGACCTCTGTCTCTACAAAACATACAAAAATTAGCTGGGCTTGGTGGCACAGGCCTATGGTTCCAGCTACACGGGAGGCTGAGGTGGGAGGACAGCTTGATCCCAGGAGTCTGAGGCTGCAGTGAGCCATGATTGTACCACTGTACTCCAGCCTGGGCAACCAAGCCAGACCCTGTCCCCCACCCAAAAAAAAGAGGAAAGAGTCCCTAGCACAAAGCTGAAAATGCCTACACAGAAGTGTATGGCCCTGGTGACAGGGGTGCCACCACCACAAATCCCCAAACTTCAAAAAATGACAACCATGGGCCAGTGCTGTGGCTCACACCTATAATCCCAGCACTTTGGGAGGTGGAGGCGGGCGGTTCACCTGAGGTCAGGAGTTCGAGACCAGCCTGGCCAACATGGAGAAACCCCATCTCTACTAAAAATATAAAATTAGCCAGGCGTGGTGGTGGGCACCTGTAATCCCAGGTACTTGGGAGGCTGAGGCAGGAGAATCGCTTGAACCCAGGAGGCAGAGGTTGCAGTGAGCCAAGATCGCGCCACTGTACTCCAGTCTGGGCGACAGCAAAACTCTGTCTCGAAAAAAAAAAACCGAAACAAACAAACAAAAAAAACTTAGGGGAAATAATTTGAGCGCTTTGATTCTGAACTTTGAAGTCACTTTGTGCAAAAGAATTTGATGTGAGGATTTAATCCCTTTGAACTTTAAGGGAATTTAATTCATGATCTTTTTTTTTTTTTTAAAGGAAGGAAGACAGGGCTTCACAATCAAATTTGGGACAACTTACATGTTCACATCACATCTTTTTTTTTGAAATGGAGTCTTGCTCTCTTCCCCAGGCTGGAGTGCAGTGGTGCGATCTTGGCTCACTGCAACCTCAGTGAGCCACTGCGCCCAGCCAGCAAAACCCTATTTCTACTAAAAATATAAAAATTAGCCGGGTGTGGTGGTGCATGTCTGTATGTCTAGCTACTTGGGAGGCTGAGACAGGAGAATCACTTGAACCCGGGAGGCATAGCTTGCAGTTGGCCGAGATTGTGCCACTGAACTCCAGCCAGGGTAACCAGGCAAGACTGCCTCAAAAAAAAAAAAAAAAAAAGCTAGGGAGGTCTCAGAGAGCAAGCCCTTTGTCCTGCTTTATGTTCTGGGAAGGCACATTTTCCTGATGGCCTGTCTTTCTTGGGTGGAGGAGTGATCTACTGGATTAATACTATTGGAAAGAGTAACTGGGAAAGCTTGGCCCAGCTTTGCTTTTCTTCCTCTTGGGAGCAAGCTGCCAGAAGGGTACACACTTTCCACTGCCTGTCTCAGAACACTGGCCGGATGAAAGGGGCCAGTCTGGATGCAGCACTGTTGAGACTGGGTGGGTCTGCTAATCCAGGAATGGGCCCAGGCACTGTGGCTCACACCTATAATCCCAGCACATAGGGAAGCAAAGGCAGGACCACTGCTTGAGCATGGGAGTTTGAGACCTGCCTGGACAATACAGTGAGACCCCATTCTATACAAAAAGGAAAAAAAAAAAAAAAAAAAAAAGGAACTCCCCTAATTCAGGAATGCAGCCAGCTGGCCCATCTAGCTCTCACACCAAGCTCTGGCTTCCAATTCAGCTTTTATCATGGACAGCAGTGATGCTCTGATCTCCAAGAATAAAATAAAGATTTACTCTTTAGACAGTGCTCACAAAGGAGCTTCCCCTTTCTTACGGAATTCAGGAGCATACAAATGTGTCATAGCTTCTTGATGAAATCAAAGCTACAGGCCGGGCGCGGTGGCTCACACCTGTAATCCCAGCACTTTGGGAGGCCAAGGCGGGTGGATCACGAGGTCAGGAGATCAAGAGATCAAGACCATCCTAGCTAACATGTGAAACCCCGTCTCTACTAAAAATTAGCCTGGCGTGGTGGCGGGCACCTGTAGTCCCAGCTACTAGGGAGGCTGAGGCAGGAGAATGGCATGAACACGGGAGGCGGAGGTTGCAGTGAGCCAAGATCGCGCCACTGCACTCCAGCCTTCGTGAAAGAGCGAGACTCTGTCTCAAAAAAACAAAAAAACAAAAAAAAAAAAAGAAAAGAGAAAAAAAGAGAAATCAGAGCCGTAAGATGAAACCTACCCGAATCGAGCTCCATGTCGGCCGGGGATCCTGCTGAGTTGCTTTCCTTCTTCTGCTTCTTTGGACTCCCTGGGCTAGAGTGAGATGAAGACCTCTTGCTGCTAGACTTCACACCTGGCTAAAGGAGCAACCAAACCAAACACAAGTTAGGTGGGGTAGACAATGAATTAAACTCCATCCCTTCACTTAAAATGATGTAGAAAAGCGATCTGGAGATAAGTCTAGGTAACTGGTGAATTTCGCCACTGTTTTCCTTTTGGTTTGTCAAGATAACAAAGCAAGAAAAGGCTGTAATATGCTAATAATTTACAAAATCTCACAGACACAACATTTTATAGAGTACACCCTTAAAATCTATTTACCGTTTGGAAGTTAGAAGTAAGGTAATTGGCAAACACATCCTTCTGCTGACATGCCTGCATTGGTATGGAACCAAAGATCCTCCATTCCTAATAATGAAAAGAGAAGAAAAAAAAAAATCATGTATTTGGAAAATGTCATGTTTTGAGATTTTGCTCAAAGGAAGTACAGCAGAGATCTCAAATTACGTTTTTCCTTCTTATGTTACTTTTCCTTTATTGGGAATTAAGGAAAATAATGATGTGTTGAAGGAAAACTAAACCTGCCTGCAACATAATCAAGACTATGAATACTTAAAGACTACCTGACACAATCACTTGGCCAAAAAAGGTTCTACATACCGCAAGCAGAAGATGTAGGCAGGAGTGACTGCTATGGGGCCTCCCAGGCTCCAGTCTCTCTCCCATCAAGCACTGGCACTGCTAACAGGGCCGTTCATAGCCCACTTCTCCTAACACACTTACTCATGAGTTTTCCATCTTCTGCTCTTTCTCTTTCCAAATACAGCACTCATCTTTAAAGATTCCATACCGCTTACTTCTCTCTCCTCTCCAATCGCACATTCAACAGTGGTTCTCAGTAAGAATCCCATGGAACTCTTGTGAAACATAGAGGTTCCAGGGTTTGAATCAGTTAAGTCTAAAGATGGGACTCAAGAATGTACATTTCTAACGAGTATTCCCAGGGGACTGTGAAGTAGACTGGAAGCTGCACTGGCTTCCAGAAGCACTGATGGTTTGTATCATGCACTTCTGCCCGTAATGAATTACACAGTCTTGTGTGATTGACAACTTTCTATCTGCTCACCACACTCTTAACTTCAAGTCTTTGGCTGTTTCCCTACTGTCCAGTTCCTAAGAACACACTTTTTATTTTTATGTTTTTTTGAGATGGAGTTTCGCTTTCATCACCCAGACTAAAGTGCAATGGCGTGATCTCAGCTCACTGCAACCTCCACCTCCTGGGTTCAAGCGATTCTTCTGCCTCAGCCTCCTGAGTAGCTGGGATTACAGGCGCCTGCCACCACGCCCGGCTAATTTTCATATTTTTAGTAGAGATGGGATTTTGCCATATTGGCCAGGCTGGTCTCAAACTCCTGAGCTCAAGTGATCCACCTGCCTTGGCCTCCCGAAGTGCTAGGATTACAGGCATGGGCCACTGCACCCGGCCAATAATACACTTTTTAAATAAAACAGTACAATAGTTCATTGTTGAATCTTGAGACCTAAGATGGAAGCTGGAAAAGAGTTAAGTGTAGAAAAACCATTCATATACAAAATGAGAAATTTTACTTTGAGGGGAAAAAAGGCAAGAATAAACAGGAGAGTTATAGTATATTTAGATTTATTATAGATAGAAACTTATTTCCTAGGTTAATTCTGTAAAATATATAATACTGTCTCAGAACAATCCATATTGTTAAAAACTTTTAAAATGTTAGAGTAGTTTTAGATTTAGAGACTCTAACCAATCTATTTTGGCTCCCTTTCTGAGGGCACAAAATCAGAGAAAACTGCTGTTGATGAATATAAGACTTCAATTAAGATTCTAGCAAGATTCTATATAGGAAATTAAAAATGTAAACAAGTGGCCGGGTGCAGTAGCTCACGCCTGTAATCCCAGCACTTTGGGAGGCCGAGGTGGGTGGATCATGAGGTCAAGAGATCGAGACCATCCTGGTTAACATGGTGAAACCCCATCTCTACTAAAAATACAAAAAATTAGCCGGACGTGGTGGCGGGCGCCTGTAATCCCAGCTACTCGGGAGGCTGAGGCAGGAGAATGGCGTGAACCCGGGAGACGGAGGTTGCAGTGAGCTGAGATCGCGCCACTGCCCCCCAGCCTGGGCAATAGAGCGAGACGCAATCTCAAAAAAAAAAAAAAAGTAAACAAGTAACACATTTATCCCTTTAAATAGTAACTACTATATAAGTTTGTATGTATATATGAATTAAGTAATTATTTTTTGAGTCAGGGTCTCGTGTGATCTCACCTCACTGTAACCTCTGCAATCCTCCCACCCCAGCCTCTCTAATAGCCAGGACTACACGCATGTGCCGCCACCCTTGGCTAGTTTTAAAATTTTTTGTAGGGACAAAGTCTTGCTATGTTGCCCAGGCTGGTCTCGAACTCTGGAGCTCAAGCAATAATCTTGCCTCGGACTTGCAAAGTGTTGGGATTACAGGTGTGAGCCACCATGCCTAGCCAACAAGTTAATATTCTGACCAATCTTTAACATAGTAATATCACATCACATGATAATTAAAAAAAAAATAAATATACTTACATCTGGAATTCCTCTGGGAGTAGATATATTAAAACCAGGATAGTTGACCAATTTTGAGAGATCATAAGTGACACTTTTATTCTGCTGTATTTCTCCAATTTCTGTTTCCCCATCAGTGCTATCTATTACAGACCATAAAAAGTGTTAATATTGCTAAATGTCAATATATATCCCTCCCCAGACCAAAAGTACACCTGGAAAGTGCTTATACTCATGGCAAGAGAATTAGTTTTGAAATGGCTTTCAATTTTAATTATAATTTTTCTTAACCATTAGGACAGTTTTTTTTTTTTTTTTTTTTTTGAGAAAGGGTCTTGCTTTGTCACCCAGACTGGAGTGTAGTGGCACTATGTTGGCTCACTATAGCTTCTGCCTCTCAGGCTCAAGTGATCCTCCCACCTCAGCCTCCTGAATAGCTGGTTCTACACGCACGCACAACCACACCAGGGTAGGCTGTGTATTTTTAGTACAGACAGGGTTTCACCATGTTGCCCAGGCTGGTCTCAAACTCCTGAGCTCAGGCGATCTACCTACTGCCTCAGCTTCCCAAGTAGCTGGGATTACAGGCGCCTGCCACCACGCTTGGCTAATTTTTGTATTTTTATTAGAGACCGGGTTTCACCATCTTGGCTAGGCTGGTCTTGAACTCCTGACCTCAAGTGATCCATCCACCTCGGCCTTCTAAAATCCTGGGACTACGGCCATGAGTCACTGTGCCCAGCCGAAACCTGCTTTTTAAAAACTCAATATTGCACAAAGATTTTGCCATGTCAGCTCATACAGATTTATTCCCACTCTTCATATGTTGCAGAGAGTCCACAGCTCAGAACTACCAATTTATTTAACCATTTTTCTTTTTTTTTTTTTTTTGAGACGGAGTCTCACGCTGTTGCCCAGGCTGGAGTGCAGTGGCGCGATCTCGGCTCACTGCAAGCTCCGCCTCCCGGGTTCCCGCCATTCTCCTGCCTCAGCCTCCTGAGTAGCTGGGACTACAGGCGCCCGCCACCGCGCCCGGCTAATTTTTTGTATTTTTAGTAGAGACGGGGTTTCACTGTGGTCTCGATCTCCTGACCTTGTGATCCGCCCGCCTCGGCCTCCCAAAGTGCTGGGATTACAGGCTTGAGCCACCGCGCCCGGCCTTAACCATTTTTCTTTACGGCCTTAATGTTGTCTTAGATTTTTCACTATCATATTCAATGATACAAAAAGATTCTTGTATACATACAGTTTATTTTGCATATGTGTATCTTTCTAGAGTAGGTATCTAGGAGAGAAGTTCTAGACTATTAGAGGTTTTCTGTATTTCACATTTTACAGGTCTCCTGGCATTGAGGATCTATGTCTGTTATTACTGAGAAAGGTAAGAGCTTATGAGGACTGGCTGGAGAGTGATACTCTGGCCTAGACAGTACCTGAGCAAGCCCAGAAAACCATCAGATAATCTATGAACTCACTGAAATTTTAGTTCCTTCCTTGTAAAATTTACCAAGGAAACATCATCATGATATTTTTTAGTTAGCACACATTAAAGAAGTCAGCCGTTCCTATCACATTTTGTTGATTCTTTAACAAAAAAAAAAAAAAAAGGAAACACTTAAGGTGACTTCTCTAACTTAAGATACTATACCTTTTCCATCATACAGTGCAAGCCCCGAATTCTCCAATTCAGCCTCTTTGAGCCACCCTGGTGGGTACCCTAGCTGGCGCATCCGATAGATAAAAGGTGGAAGACTCTTGTCTGTCACACCTAGTGCATCTTGAAGTTCCTCACTAAGTAAAAATAAAGGAGGAAGAAAAATAATGAATTCTTGTTTGCATGAAAACACATACATAATATTCTGTTTTGTTTTTTTTTTTGAGACAGAGTCTCGCTCTGTCGCCCAGGCTGGAGTGCAGTGGCTGGATCTCAGCTCACTGCAAGCTCCGCCTCCCGGGTTTACGCCATTCTCCTGCCTCAGCCTCCCAAGTAGTTGGCACTACAGGAGCCCGCCACCTTGCCCAGTGAGTTTTTTGTATTTTTTAGTAGAGACGGGGTTTCACTGTGTTAGCCAGGATGGTCTCGATCTTCTGACCTCGTGATCTGCCCATCTTGGCCTCCCAAAGTGCTGGGATTACAGGCTTGAGCCACTGCGCCTGGCCAATATTCTGGTATTTTAAAACATTTCTTGCTTATATTACATACCATGATGGCTAACAAATATAATTAAAATTTCAAGAAGTGTTTCTAAATGAATTAATGTATATTACCTAGGGCTTTGGCAGAGTACACTTATATCCTGATAATTAGCCCGAAGAGACAGAGAACATTCGAAATGCTAGGGAAATAAAAATGACCTTCTATGGTAAAATGCCATTAATACCTAATAACTCCTGGCTTGAATCTTCCAAATCTTTCTTCTACTTCTTCTGCGTGGTATCGCTGCTGGAAATTCTGATTGTTTGCTTCCCCACAGGCATCCATATACTCTTTTCTCTTTTCACTTATTCGAGCAGCATTCCGAGGCTACATCATGACACATTTGAAAAGAATGGTTTCATGCAACTCAGAAATATTTCAGAAATTAAATACTTTTTTTTAGATCAAGTAAACAGATTATTTTAGTTTTAATGTATAACGAACAAGCGTAAAAGAGAGTGAATATTTTAGAAAAATAAGTAAGGAAAGGAGCAGTCTATTTATTACCTCAGTATTATAAATTAAATAAAGTTTTTAGGATAAACTCTACAATTTAACTCTGTTTATTCATATCAAATACAGAGAGTACTATTTTAAATTATTTACTAAAAAAATTTAATGTCTTAAAATATAAACACAAATTTGAAAAGATTTCAAATTAAAGGACTACAGGAAAGTAACAAAGAAAGTTCCTTCATGTCACACAATACCATAAATGTGTTGAAAACATTAGAAAGCTCTTGTTCAAAGACTTTTCTTAACATGAGAAAAATTTACCATTGGGCAATCTTTCATTTGGTGTTCTTCAGAACCACAATTGAAACAGTGAGGCTTTGGCCTATTTGGTCAAAAGACAAAGATTTTTATAATGTAAATAAAAATAGAAAAGCAAATCAATAAAATTCTATATGACAGCAAAGTGTATCAGAGAGATAAGAAAGCAAGTTCATCACAGATCACTAATATCTGCAACAAGAAGTACACTTTAATCTCTTGTATTTAGTGATTTAAATAGTACTATGCAGTCTTTTAACCAAGAACCCTTCTGTTCCTGACTGATCTGTTACCTCTTTTGAGTTTTTTCAGTGGTTAACAACAGAAGAATCGAGGTGAACAGATGATCATATTTCTATTAGGTAACATGGAAAGAAGGCAGATGGTTATAAGACTGCAATCAAATTGACAGCAACAATTACACTTTTCCACCCGCCCAGGCACATTAGGTGAGAACCAATGAATTCCAAGAAGCAGATGATCCATTTAAACGTTTAATATATGTGTATGGAATAAAATTCTAGCTCAATCTGTAATTAACCTTAGAGTAAACCAGCAGTAAAGAACATTAACTTTTCAAGCCAAAAGTTTATGATTTCCGTTAAAAAAGTAAGTAAAACAAAACAACTCCCCACACAAACCTTTTTGCCTTTACTTGTATTTCTTGCCCTTCTAGAGAAACAATGTGGCTGAAGACTTGATGGTACCTTTAGTGAATTTTATTAAGGAATAGTTATCATGGTCTGCAAAATTTGGAAATTGTTTTAAAGGTGAACTTAGTGGTAAGATGCATAAAAGATCTTCATTCACTATGTAGGATACTTGGGTATTTCCCATCCTTCGGAAAGCTGAGGGTTTTCATTTAGAAGCGGTTGCCCCAATTTATCAAGGCAAAAATTAGTAAAATACAGGACACTTCCTACAACCTGCAGAAAACAAGTCAAAAAATATTGCTATTTAAGCAGGAAAAAAAGACATTAAATAATGTAAGACTATGATTAACTGTTTTAACAATTTATTTTGGATGGAATTATTAGAAATAGTAACTTCCTAGTTATTAAGGAGCCAGACTTTGATGTGTAAGTAGAAACTACATCGTCAGTTCCCTCTCTCTCCTAGATCACTGTTTTTCCTCTGTATTGGATCATGACTATCTATCTCCAGAATTCAAACAAAAAATGAAAACCTTGACTCTCACGTTTCCCTCCAGTGCCCCATTTCATTGCTTCTCTTTGCAAGACATGCAGACCCTTTAGTTATTGTTTCCATTTCCTTTCTTCCCATTCACTCTTTTCTTGTCCCTCCAATTCTTTTTGAAAATTCCATACAGACAAGTGGGAAAAGTGGTACAATGAACACCCAATGTATCCTTCACCTAGACTGAACAATTGTTAGTAGTTTAACATTTTTGTCTGCCTCTTTCTTTACACATACACTGAACACACACACATACACTTTTTTGTTTGTTTTGAGATAGGGTCTCTGTCACCCAGGCTGGAGTACAGTGGTGCAATCTTGGCTTACTGCAACTTCTGCCTGCCAGGCTCAAACGATCCTCCCACCTCAGCCTCCCGAGAAGCTGGGACCACAAGCACAGTCAGCTATTTTTTTGCCCAGCTATTTTTTTGTATTTTTAGTAGAGGCAGAGTCTTGCCATGTTGCCCAGGCTGCTCTCGAACTCCTGAGCTTAAGTGATCCACCTGACTCAGCCTCCCAAAGTGTTAGGATTATAGCCGTGAGCCACTGCACCTGGCCTCACATATACTTTATAATTTTTTTTTTTTTTTTTTGAGGCAGGGTCTTGCTCTGTTGTCCAGGCTGGAATGCAGTGGCATGATCTTGGCTCATTGTAACCTCAAAGTCCTGGGCTAAAATGATCCTCCTGCCTCAGTCTCCCGAGTAGTTGTGCCACTACACACAGCTAATTTTCTTTCTGTTTTAGAGATGGGGTCTTGCTATGTTGCCTAGGCTGGTCTTAAACTCCTGGCCTCTAGCAATCCTTCTGCCTCAGCCTCCCCAAGTGCTGGGATTACAGGTGCTGAGCCACTGTGCCTGGCCTCCATTTTTTTTTTTTTTTTTTTTTTTTTTTTTTTTTTTTTTTTTTTTTGAGACGGAGTCTCGCTCTGTCGCCGAGGCTGGAGCGCAGTGGCCGGATCTCAGCTCACTGCAAGCTCCGCCTCCCGGGTTCACGCCATTCTCCTGCCTCAGCCTCCCGAGTAGCTGGGACTACAGGCGCCCGCCACCTCGCCCGGCTAGTTTTTTGTATTTTTTTAGTAGAGACGGGGTTTCACCGTGTTCGCCAGGATGGTCTCGATCTCCTGACCTCGTGATCCGCCCGTCTCAGCCTCCCAAAGTGCTGGGATTACAGGCTTGAGCCACCGCGCCCGGCCAGGCCTCCATTTTTTTAATGACACTGCCCTCTCTCTTGAACATTTCCAGTAATGCTTCTATACCTATCACTGGGCTGAGTTCCTAACATTGGAGCTTCCCAATGACCTCCATGCAGCCAAATTCAATAGCTAGTTCTCACTCTTCATCTTTCTTAACCTATCTGCAACAATTGACACGATTTTTCCTTCCTCCAAAACATCTTCCTCCCTTGTCTTCTAGGACATGCTTCTCCGTTCTCTTCTTTCCTTGCTGACTGAGCCTCAGTCTTCTGTGCTAGACTCTTCTCATCCCTCTATCTCCCATGTATTAGAGTGCCCTAGGTCTCAGTCCTCCTCTCCACTTTCACTACCCAGGTGGTTCATCATAACCCATGGTATGAAGTATAATATATATGCTTACTACCTCTAAAAGTCAAGTTATTATTATTATTATTTTTTGAGACAGAATTTCGCTCTTGTTGCCCAGGCTGGAGTGCCACGGCGCAATCTCAGCTCACCGCAAGCTCTGGCTGAACCTCCTCGGTTCAAGCGATTATCCTGCCTCAGCCTCCCAAGTAGCTGGGATTACAGGCATGCACCATCAGACCCGGCTAATTTTGTATTTTTAGTAGAGATGGGGTTTCTTCATGTTGGTCAGGCTGGTCTCAAACTCCTGACTTCGTAATCCACCCGCCTTGGCCTCCCAAAGTGCTGGGATTACAGGCAGAAGCCACTGTGCCTGGCCTAAGATATTATTTTTTAATTATTATTTTTTTCACTGGGAGCATAGATTCAAGTTGCCCTGAATATATGTTCTCCTTTAAGCTCAAGTTCTGATCCATCCTAACCATCGATTTTATATATGGAAGTGTCAACTTGACAGCTCTCAAGGGGTGTGTGAGTGGCATCTCAAACTCACCTGCTTAAAACTGCACTGGATTCCTAGCCCCCTCCAAAACTGTTCCTCCTCTAGTCTTCCCCATCAGAGAAAATACGATGACATTCTTCCAGGTTCTCAGGACAAAAACCTGAGTCACTATGATGACTCTCTTGCTCTCATATTCTGCATCCAATTCATCAACACATTTGATCAGCTCTACTTCCCCAATACATCCATGTTCTAACCACTTCTCAGTAGCACCATTCTCACCCCAGTCTCAGTACCAATTTCTCTCACCTGAGTTGAATACAATAACTTCCTAACTGGTTTTCAGCTTCCACAGGTAACCAGCTACAGACTATTTTCCACACAGAACCCAGCTCTTTTAAAAACTCAATTCATGGCCGGGCGCGGTGGCTCACGCCTGTAATCCCAGCACTATGGGAGGCCGAGGCGGCTGGATCACGAAGTCAGGAGCTTGAGACCAGCCTGACCAACATGGTGAAACCCCGTCTCTATTAAAAATACAAAAATCAGCCAGGTGTGGTGGTGCGAGCCTGTAATCCCAGCTACTCAGGAGGCTGAGGCAGGAGAATCGCTTGAATCCCCGAGGCGGAGGTTGCAGTGAGCAGAGATTGTGCCACGGCACTCCAGCCTGGGCGACAGAGCGAGACTCTGTCTCAAAATTAAAAAAAAAAAAAAAGTCCATTCATATCATGTCACATTTCGACTTAAAACCCTCCATCGCTTCTCATCTTACAGTAAAATCTAAAGTCCTCATTACAGCCTATTGGACAACCTACAGATTCAGACCATGTGCTCCAGACTCTAAGGGCCTGGTTTTTTTTTTTTTTTTTTGAGAGAGTCTCACTTTGTTGCCCAGGCTGGAGTGCAGTGGCATGATCTCGGCTCACTGCAACCTCCGTCTCCCGGGTTCAAGCGATTTTCCGGCCTCAGTCCCCTGAGTAGCTGGGATTATAGGCTTCAGTCACCATACCCAGCTAATTTATGTATTTTTAGAAAAGATGAGGTTTTGCCATGTTGGCCAGGCTGGTCTCGAACTCCTGACCTCAGGTGATCCGCCTCCCTTGGCCTCCCAAAGTGCTGGGATTACAGATGTGAGCCACTGTGCCAGGCCAAGGGCCTGATTTTAAGCCCTGCCCTGGCTTTGCCACTCACTAACCCACTGGCGAGTTACTTAGCTTTCCATCTCTGTTTCCTCATCTGTACAACTGAAGCCTAAGAGCACCTTCACGAGTAATACCTGCAGTAAGCTTAGAACTTACATGCCAGGTAGTGCTCCTGCCTTGGGCTTTCTATTATGCTTCCTATAGCCTGGAGTGCCCCATGCAAACCACAGCCTCCACTCACTTCCTCAATTCATCCAAGGTTCAGCTCTGAGAGGCTGTCAGTCACTATGCAAACCACCTACTCCACAGCTACTCTCTGCTTTCCCTGCTTCATTTTTCTTCAGGACGCTACCTTCCCCGACTAGAATGTAATTTGATGAGAGCCAGGACTTTGCCATTCTTTTCACTGCTGTCTCCCTGGAACCCAGAAGGATCCCTGGGACAAAGTGGCATTCACTAAATATTTTCGTATTTGTTAAAGGTTTAAATTAATAAATAAAGAAAATTCCCAGTTTCTAGGCAAGTGCCACTTTTTTTTTTTTTTTTTTTGAGACGGAGTCTTGCTCTGTCGCCTAGGCTGGAGTGCAGTGGCACGATCTTGGCTCACTGCAAGCTCCTCCTCCCTGGTTCACGCCATTCTCCTGCCTCAGCCTCCCAAGTAGCTGGGACTACAGGCGCCTGCCAGGACGCCCAGCTGATTTTTTGTATTTTTAGTAGAGATGGGGTTTCACTGTGTTAGCCAGGATGTTCTCGATCTCCTGACCTCGTGATCCGCCCGCCTCAGCCTCCCAAAGTGCTGGGATTACAGGCGTGAGCCACCGCGCCTGGCCGCAAGTGCCACTTTCAATCCCAGAACCTCGGGGTCAGAAGGAAAATGAAACACTACCTCATTCAAATTCAGAAATTTTTCTTTAAAGTGCCCTGATAACATCTCAGTCCCTATTTGACTCCAGTAATACTGAATTCACTTTTATAAATGAGAAGTGCCATTTCACTTGTTTTTTTTGTTTTCTTTTGAATGCCAGGTCATATCATTTTTCACATCTCTGATAGAAATTTGAACTTTCTAAGCGCTGAGTTGAAATGTACCTTCTTGTAGTCAATTCAATCACTGGTCTTAATTCTGCCACTTGGCACTTTAAAGGGTGATTTAAAGTAACTTTTACTCTTTTACAAACAACAGCCTTTATCCTATTTGTAGAGACGGGACATCCTTTGTAAATTTTCCTTTCAATAAAGTTTGTGGGCTCTTTGTCATCCCAGTAGGCCTGTATCTCTTTCTTTTATATATAGATATATATCTATAGATACATATATATATATATATTTTGTTTGTTTTCTGAGACAGGGTCTTGCTCTGTCACCTAGACTGGAGTGCAGTGGCACAATCATGGGTTACTGCAGCCTTGACCTCAAGCAATCCTCCCACTTGAGCCTCCTGAGTGGCTGGGACTACAGGTCCACGCCACCACACTTGGGTAATTTTTTTTTTTTGAGACTGAGTCTCACTCTGTCACCCAGGCTGGAGTGCAGCGGCGAATCTTGGCTCACTGCAGCTTCAGTCTCTTGGGTTCAAAGCAATTTTCATGACTCAGCCTCCCGAATAGCTGGGACTACAGGTGTGTGCCACCACATCTGGCTAATTTTTGTATTTTCAGTAGAGACAAGGTTTCTCTATGACAGCCAGGCTGGTCTCGAACTCCTGACCTCAAGTGATCCATCGGCCTCAGCCTCCCAAAGTCCTGGGATTACAGGTGTGAGCCACTTCGCCCAGCCACACTTAGCTAATTTCTTTTTTTTTTTTGAGACGGAGTCTCGCTGTCTCCCAGGCTGGAGTGCAGTGGCCGGATCTCAGCTCACTGCAAGCTCCGCCTCCTGGGTTTACGCCATTCTCCTGCCTCAGCCTCCCGACTAGCTGGGACTACAGGCGCCCGCCACCTCGCCCGGCTAGTTTTTTGTATTTTTTTAGTAGAGATGGGGTTTCACTGTGTTAGCCAGGATGGTCTCGATCTCCTGACCTCGTGATCCGCCCATCTCGGCCTCCCAAAGTGCAGGGATTACAGGCTTGAGCCAGTGCGCCCGGCCCACACTTAGCTAATTTCTTAAGAATTTTTCGTAGAGATGAGTTCTGGCTATGTTGCCCAGGCTTGTCTGGAACTCCTAGACTCAAGTAATCCTCCCACCTTGGCCTCCCAGAACACTGGGGATTACAGGTGTGAGCCACTGCACCCAGCCTAAAATTGTGGTATACTAATATGGGATCATACTACATAAACATGAAAAACAGTTTTCCTTCAATATTATATAATCCACTGTTACATTACCTTTTGAAATACTATATGCTGCGCTGGGCACGGTGGCTCACGTCTGTAATCCCAACACTTTGGTAGGCCAAGGTGGGCGGATCACAAGGTCAGGAGTTTGAGACTAGCCTGACCAACATGGTGAAACCCAGTCCCTACTAAAAATACAAAAATTAGCTGGGCGCCTGTAATCCCAGCTACTCGAGAGGCTGAGGCAGGAGAATTGCTTGAACCCGGGGGGCAGAGGTTGCAGTGAGCTGAGATTGTGCCATTGCACTCCAGCCTGGGTTGACAGGGTGAGACTCCGTCTCAAAAAAAAAAAAAAAAAAAATTATAAGCTGCAAAATCATACTACTACATTGTATTAACACTAATGAATTTTGCATAGGTATTGAAAGGCTGGCTGTAGCCTAAATGTAGGTCATCCCTGTTAACTTCTATTTTTCACCTACCATTTGAGACTGTCAATACTTTAAATTCCAAATTTGCCATCTGTTATATTAGCTATCTATCCCTCTCAGCTTTAGCCATGTATAAGTTCAACAAGCATGCTTTCTATATCTTCATCCAAGTTCTTGAATAAACAAAGTGGTTGGTCAATACAAAAACAAAGTTCTCCAAAGTATGTTTACTGTGCCCCAGGTCACAACGCAATTATTATTAAAAAGCAAACTGTAATATTTAGAGGCTAAAGTCCAAACTGCTATTTACCACAAAAAGATGCTGTTATCAAGTGAAGACATGACTATACTACTTTATCTTTTAAACACCACCCAATTGACATAGGATAGGAAACACCTACTGGCAGAATTCAAAACTGAAATGTCCAAACTTACACTGAAAGCTTCCTTGCTGTTCTTAATGGCACAGGACTCGTCCACTTTGTGGTCCTCCTCTAGCACAATACTGGATGGCTAATACAAAGAAAAACACACATTACAATGGGTAACCAATTTTTAACAAGTTTAAATGGAAGTTAGTAAGTTTAGAAATTAAGCTAAGAATGTTTATGAACGACATTTCATGTGGGAGAATGGAAGAGGTAAAAGGAGAGCTTCTTCTGAAGCATTAGCATGCACTATGACTTTTTTTTACCAATATTAATTATGCCACTTTCAACACTTAAACTGGCAAGGCAGATAACCAGAAAGATTAAAAATACATAAGTTTTTTTATTTTTATTTTTTTGAGACGGAGTCTTGCTCTGTCGCCCAGGCTGGAGTGCAGTGGCCGGATCTCGGCTCACTGCCAGCTCCGCCTCCTGGGTTCACGACATTCTCCTGCCTCAGCCTCCCAAGTAGCTGGGACTACAGGCGCCCGCCACCTCGCCTGGCTAGTTTTTTATATTTTTTAGTAGAGACGGGGTTTAACCGGGTTAGCCAGGATAGTCTCGATCTCCTGACCTCGTGATCCGCCCGTCTCGGCCTCCCAAAGTGCTGGGATTACAGGCTTGAGCCACCGTGCCTGGCCAAAAAAATACATAGTTTTACATTACTGGTCAATACTGATAATATAACCCTCACAGACCTCAAGCCACTACAAAAGTTTCCTCGAATCAAAAATAATATTCAGTATAGTTTTTATTGTTAAATGTATTTTGTTTGCTGAATCTTTAAAAATTGTATAGAATACATAAAAACCAAAGGCGATAAAAAACACAATCAATCAGAACACTCTGTTCTCCAAAGCCTGAGGATAAACAGCTAAAATTCCTTATTTGAGAAATTCTATTTACCTTAATTTTTAATTAAAAAAAAAAGACTCAGATATCATCACTCTCCTTTTTTTTTAAACATAAATGCATGATCCAATATTCACATTGTAAAACTTCTTAGATTTCTTTGGGCACACAATTGATTTTCTAAAAACAAGTAGTGGGAAAAAAGGACAGCCCACAAGCTGGTTGGTTTTAGACAAAAGGAATCCATCTTTTGTAAACCCCAGAAACTTAGATTTTTTTCTGGCCTAAAATTAATTTTCTGCCCAAAACCACACGTCCAAGTTAGGCAATGTAAAAAGTCTGAGCCACAATCTAATAGAACACCGTGTGGCTAAACCAGTCAGGCTTCAGAAAAGCAAGCCAGTGGAAGGAGACGTGGTGAATGGTGTTAATCATTTTGGTTTTGATTCAAGAGGATCCTTGTGGCCCAATAATTCGCAGTGAAACGCATAACCTACTAATCTTAAAGTCTCTTAAATTTGAAATACCTGGGGCAAAAGATTAAAGGCAGTCTTTTCCACATCATTTTTCTGCTGTTCCTCAAATCTTTTTACTAAATTTGATACAAATTCCTCTATTTCTTGATGATACTGCCTGTGTAAGAGGACAAAATGGTCAGAACCCAGACAGAGTAAAACATTCAATAGACTGAAGTCTTACACATTACTATAAGATGTCAAATGTGAATGTTGTTGTTTTTCAGAAGTTTAACAAATCACCGACTCTCTGTAATACTCAGGAACATATTCCTTAAGACAAATTACATATTGTTACCAAGTTAATAAAATAATTATGATAAAGTAACACAGTGATTGGCATAGCTGCCAATCAGCTGTGCAAAGAATACACGGATTTGATTTATAAATTCTGTGTACTTAATTTTTTAAATAGATACTACAAGTAAATGGTTCAAAATCCAAGAGAAGTAAAATGGTTACATAATGAAAAGCTCCCTTCCTACCCTGTCTCCTGGCCATCTATTTCTGCAACACAAAGATAGTCAATATATATTCAGGTCTTCCACATCCTCCTCCCAGAGATTCTTTTTTTTTTTTTTTTTTGAGACTGAGTCTGGCTCTGTCGCCCAGGCTGGAGTGCAGTGGCCGGATCTCAGCTCACTGCAAGCTCCGCCTCCCGGGTTTACGCCATTCTCCTGCCTCAGCCTCCGGAGTAGCTGGGACCACAGGCGCCCGCCACCTCGCCCGGCTAGTTTTTTGTATTTTTTAGTAGAGACGGGGTTTCACCGTGTTAGCCAGGATGGTCTCGATCTCCTGACCTTGTGATCCGCCCGTCTCAGCCTCCCAAAGTGCTGGGATTACAGGCTTGAGCCACCGCGCCCGGCTAGAGATTCTTTATACATACATAAGGAAACACCAATATAAATATGAAACTGGAAAAGATAAAATCAAAATGCAAAGCAAGAAAAAATACTGAGGTCTACTTTCCCCAGCCCTCCAGGTCAAGAACCAAGCTCATCATATATTCTGTAGTGCTCAGTTCAGGAGGTGTCGAAGGAGCCCAAGTCTTTTACGATGTAATCGGGGAGCCATAATGTCTCAGACTCAGTTTCCTTTTCACAGACTTGATGATCTTTTAGGTATTTTGTAGCTCTGACATTTTAAGATTTCTGCAGGTGCATCACTTGAGGTCAGGAGTTCAAGACCAGCCTGGCCAACATGGTGAAACCCTGTCTCTATTAAAAATACAAAAATTAGCTGGGCCTGGTGGCGGGCGCCTGTAATCCCGGCTACTTGGGAGGCTGAGGCAGGAGAATTGCTTGAACCCAGTGGGTGGAGGTTGCAGTGAGCCAAGATCATGCTAGCCTGAGCAAAAAGAGGGAAACTCCATCACAAAAAAAAAAAAAAGAAAGAAAAGAAAAGAAAAAAGAAAAGCCGGGTGCAGTGGCTCACATCTGTAATCCCAGCACTTTGGGAGGCCAAGATGGGTGGACCACCTGAGGTTGGGAGTTCGAGACCAGCCTGACCAACATGGAGAAACCTCATCTCTACTAAAAATACAAAATTAGCCAGGTGTAGTGGCACATGCCTATAATCCCAGCTACTTGGGAGACTGCGACAGGATAATCACTTCAACCTGGGAGGTGGAGGTTGTGGTGAGCTGAGATTGCACCACTGCACTCAAGCCTGAGCAATAAGACCAGAACTCCATCTCAAAAAAAAAAAAAAGAAAAAAAAGATTTCTGCAGGTTAAACAATAGGTGAATGGTGCAGAAATGAGACCGTCATGAGCTACAGGGTTACTGATTCTAACCTGGGCATGGGAGGGACAATAGTGCTACAGCCCAGTCGTGCCCAGCACCTTGCTGCTGTATTTAGCATCCAGCTTCCCCACCTCAGAGCCTTGGGTTCCACTTCTGCTGAGATAGAGTAGGTTATGGACCTGGCATTGTTCCTTCTATCTTCTTGACCTTGGTCAGCATTAAGAAGACAACAATATGACTAAGTGACTTTCAAGGGAGCAAGCAACTCTGTGAAATGTCTATGACCATGCTCTGCAGAAGGGACAGAGCAAACCATTTTAGAAACTCTCAGCAAGCACTGCAGGAATGCACAGGGTCACCCGAAACCCTGATGCTAATGGTTTGCAAAGTCTTATTTTGCTGTTAAAAGAAATAATCAAGTGAGTAGGCTTTGAAGATGGCCAACATGGAAAACTCAGTTACCTGATTCGGAAAGAGAAATAGTGAACGTCATTGTTATTGTTACAATGATAGTGATGATTTTTATTAGAAGCCATTTATTGAGCTCTTAGAGGTGCTCATGTAGCTACCTCACAGGCAGTTACTATGACTATCCTGTTTTCCAGTGAAGTAACGGATGATGTAGCAAAGATCTGTGACCTTACCAGGTTCACAGACATAGAAAGTAAGAGTCCAGATATTCAGGTCACTGTGACCCCAATGTCCTTGCTCTTAATCATGATTCCTTACGCTTTAACTCCAGGGTCATTTTAAGTAAAATAATAAAAATGATATAAGTACAAATGAAAACGGCATATTTATAAAGTTGTTCCATGAACACATTATTATTTTTAGGAGAGGGAAAAAATTACTTACTTTGAAATAGCATTGTTCATGAATAGAATCTGTAATATAGGTCCATCTAACTTAGTATCGTTCACCAATATTCCACTAAAACAGAAGTTAGAACATATTCTTAGAAGACATTTAAGTAAAACTTGCATACATATATACAAACGCATAACTTTTATACATTTTTTATTTATTTATTTATTATTATCATACTTTAAGTTCTAGGGTACATGTGCATAATGTGCAGGTTTGTTACATATGTACACTTTTTTTTTTTTTGAGACGGAGTCTCGCCTGTCGCCCAGGCTGGAGTGCAGTGGTGCAATCTGGGCTCACTGCAAGCTCCGCCTCCCGGGTTCACGCCATTCTCCTGCCTCAGCCTCCTGAGTAGTTGGGACTACAGGCACCGGCCACCTCGCCCGGCTAGTTTTTTGTATTTTTTTTTTTAGTAGAGAGGGGGTTTCACCGTGTTAGCCAGGATGGTCTCGATCTCCTGACCTCGTGATCCGCCCGTCTTGGCCTCCCAAAGTGCAGGGATTACAGGCTTGAGCCACTGCACCCGGCTACATATGTATACTTGTGCCATGTTGGTGTGCTGCACCCATCAACTCGTCAGCACCCATCAACTCGTCATTTACATCAGGTACAACTCCCAATGCAATCCCTCCCCGCTCCCCACATTTTTTTTTTTCTTTTTTGAGACAGGTTCTCACTCTGTCGCTCATGCTGCAGTGAAGTGGCGAGATCTTGGATCACTGCAATCTCTGCCTCCCGGGATCAAGCAATCCCACCTCACCTTCCCAAGTAGCTGGGACCACAGGTGCAGAACACCATGTCTAGCAAATTTTTGTATGTTTTATGGAGACAGGGTTTTGCCATGTTGGCCAGGCTGGTCTTGAACTCCTGAGCTCAAGGGATCCACCTGCCTCGCCCTCCCCAAGTGCTGGGATTACAGCTGTGAACCATCTCACCAGCCTTAAAATTCTTAAGTACCAAAGATCATATAGTATTTTACACATACTGCAGTTTTCGCAAGAAAATTATACATTTTCACCAATTCTATCTACTTTAATAATTTTATACAGAGGCATCACTTAACTTTTTTTTAAATGTTTAACAACAAATTAAGAACTGCAGTTAATCTTTCAGTTTTCAACCAAACAGTTTGCCTAATGGTTAGCTTCCTTACAAATTAGGGGGAGGGAAGGAAGGACTAGGTAAACAAGTAAACGAGCAGGTTACAAGAATATACTTCCTTTTTTTTGGGGGTGGGGGGATAGAGTCTCGCTCTGTTGCCCAGGCTGGATTGCAGTGGGGCGATCTCAGCTCACTGCAGCCTCTGCCTCCCAGGTTCAAGCAATTCTCCTGCCTCAGCCTCCTGAGTAGCTGGGATTTTAGGCGAGTGCCACCACACCCAGCTTAATTTTGTATTTTTATTTTTATTTTATTTATTTATTTATTTTTGAGATGGAGTCTCACTCTGTTGCCCAGGCTGGAGTGCAGTGGTGCGATCTCAGCTCACTGCAAGCTCCGCCTCCCGGGTTCACACCATTCTCCTCCCTCAGCCTCCTGAGTAGCTGGGACTACAGGCGCCTGCCACCACACCCAGCTAATTTTTTTGTATTTTTAGTAGAGACGAGGTTTCACTGTGTTAGCCAGGATGGTTTCTATCTCCTGACCTCATGATCTGCCCGTCTCGGCCTCCCAAAGTGCTGGGATTACAGGCGTGAGCCACCACGCCTGGCCCAATTTTTGTATTTTTAGTAGAGACGGGGTTTCACCATGTTGGCCAGGCTGGTCTCGAACTCCTGACCTAGTGATCCGCCTGCCTCAGCCTCCCAAAGTGCTGTGATTACAGGTGTGAGTCATCATGCCTGGCCAAGAATATACTTCTTTTTTCTTTCTTTTTTTGTTTGAGACAGAATCCCGCTTTGTTGCCCAGGCTGGAGTGCAGTGGCGAGATCTCAGCTCACTGCAACCTCCACATCCCAGGTTCAAGCAATTCTCCTGTCTCAGCCTCCTTAGTAGCTGGGATTATAGGCATGTGCCACACATCTGACTAATTTTTGTATTTTTAGTACAGATGGGGTTTCATCATGTTGGCCATGCTGGTCTCAAACTCCTGACTTCAGGTGATCTGCCGGCCTTGGCCTCCCAAAGACCTTGGGCTACAGAAGTGAGCCACCGTGCCTGGTATATTTCTTTCTTTCTTTTTTTTTTGAGACAGAGTCTCGCTCTCTCGCCCAGGCTGGAGTGCAGTGGCTCGATCTTGGCTCACTGCAAGCTCTGCCTCCTGGGTTCATGCTATTCTCCTGCCTCAGCTTCCCGAGTAGCTGGGACTACAGGCGCCCGTGACCATGCTTGGCTAATTTTTTTGTATTTTTAGTACAGGCGGGATTTCACGATGTTAGCTAGGATGGTCTCGATCTCCTGACCTCGTGATCTGCCTGCCTTGGCCTCCCAAAGTGCTAGGATTACAGGCGTGAGCCACCGTGCCCGGCCTGTGCCTGGTGTATTTCTAAAGGAATCTAAATGAATGTGGCTTGGAAGTATATACGAAAGAACACTTTATAAATAGATAGACTCTTGGAGGGCAAAGCATATTGTACTAAATATCTCAAATCCAAGATTCTAAAGAAGAGATATAAAAAAAGTATACTATTCCTGGATTTGACTTTCAAATACTACAAAAAACAGAACTAGAATGTAGCCTAAAAACCTGTAATATATCCCATGGGTAACCTGGGGCCAGATAAATGTCTGATTCTTCCTCTTCTCACCTGCCTCATATTCCTTTACCTGTATAGCATGTGAAATAAATGTCTCTATTTGGAATTGTCCATATCAAGTAAAGAAATAAAATAAGAGGCTGGGTGCAGTGGCTCACGCCTGCAATCCCAGCACTTTGGGAGGCAGAGGAGGATAGATCACGAGGTCAGGAGTTCGAGACTGGCCTGGCCACCATGGTGAAACCCTGTCTCCACTAAGAAAAAAAAAAATACAAAAATAAGCCATGCATGGTGGCACATGCCTGTAAACTCAGTAACTCAGGAGGCTGAGGCTGCACTCCAGCCTGGGTGACAGAGCAAGACGCCTGGCCAACCAGGGATGTTTTTAAAAGTCACATGCAGCTGTATGGTTCCTAAATTGAGTCCAGTTTGATAAACCAGCTATAAATATACTCACAGTTGGAGAAATTTGAATATGGTAGGGACATGATTAAGGAAGTCATGCCAGTTATTAGGTGTGATAATTGAGTGGTGGTTATGCATGAAAAAGTCTCTATTTTTAAAAATACACATTGAAATATTTGGGCTGAAATGTGTATGTGATTAGAAGAAGGCAATATGGTAAAAATATTAAATGTTAAATTAAGTGAGGAAAATATGGGTGTTAACCATACTGTTCTTTTCATTTCTTGTATATTTTCACAATAAAAGTAAAAGAAGGCCGGGCAAAGTGGCTCATGCCTGTAATCTTAGCACCTTGGGAGGCTGAGGATGGCAGATCACCTGAAATCAGAAGTTGGAGACCAGCCTGGCCAACATGGTGAAACCCCGTCTCTACCAAAAAACAGAAAAATTATCCGGGTGTGGTGGCACACACCTGTAGCCCCAGCTACTCGGGAGGTGTAGGTGAAAGAATGGCTTGAACCCAGAAGTCAAAGGCTGCAGTGAGTCAAAATCATGCCGTAGCACTCACGCCTGGGCAACAGAGTGACACTCTGGCTCTGTCTCAAAAACAAACAAAGTAAAACAAACAAACAAACCCCAACAAAATGTTTATTAATTAAATAAAGAGGAGAGGGCTGGGCACGATGGCTCATGCCTGTAATCCCAGCACTTTGGGAGGCCGAGGCGGGTGGATCATGAGGTCAGGAGTTTGAGACCAGCCTGACCAACATGGTGAAAAACTGTCTCTACTAAAAATACAAAAATTTTTATTTTTAGGTGGTGTGCACCTGTAATCCCAGCTACTCAGGAGGTTGAGGCAGGAAAATCACTTGAACCTGGGAGGCAGAGGTTGCAGTGAGGCGAGATCACACAACTGCACTACAGCCTGGGCGACAGAGTGAGACTCCATCTCAAAAAAAAAAAAAAGAGGAGAAACAGACTAAGCCCAGTGTAACCCCAGGACTTTGGGAGGCCGAGGCAGGAGGATCACTTGAGCCTAGGAGTTTGAAACCAGTCTGGCAATTTGGCAAAACCCCATCTCTAAGCTAAATACAAAAGTTAGCCAGGTGTGATGGCATGTTCCTATGGTCCCAGCTACTCAGGAGGCTGAGATGAGAGGATCACTTGAGCCTGGGAGGATGAGGCTGCAGTGAGCAGTAACTGCGTGACTACACTCCAGCCTAGATGACAGAGTGAGAAATTGTCTCGAAAAAAACAAAAACAAAACAAACAAACAAAAAAAACCAAAAAACCAGGAGACACTTCTGATTATAAGTTTCAAAAATAAGGACTAAATCAAGAGACATGAGAGTACAAATTTTATCTAAATAATTTCATTTGTCTTTTTTCCTTGGTTTTCTGTACAACACTTTATCAGCCTGACAATATGGAGGGCACTAATTCTAAGAAAATACTAATTTATTTCTTTTTCATGATGCTAATCCTTTGTGCTTATAAACTGGCAAAGCCTATACATGACGCGGTAATCATTTGAACTCAGATAAAACTCACCCACTTTAAGATAAATATTAAATGTTTAAATGATTGACTCCATTAGAAAATGTATACTTATCTAAATAAAATATCTTATATAAAAATTACGACTTTTATGAGGAATCCTAGTTATATTTAATATACTTAAAACCTAATCAAAAATCAGTTTATTTTATTAAGCCTCCCAAGTAGCTGAGACTACAGGCACATGCCACCACATCCAGTTAATGTTTAAAAAATTTTTTGTAGAGATAGGGTCTCACCATGTTGTCCAGACTGGTCTCCCACTTCTGGTCTCAAGCAATGCTCCCAACGTGCTGAGATTACAGGTGTGAACTATTGTGCCCAGCCAAAACTGAGTTTAGATACACAAAGTGAGCTCACATAGAGAAAGGACGATGAGATATAAGGAAGATAATTTGAAATATTGGCCGGGTGGGTGGCTCACACCTGTAATCCCAGCATTTCAGGAGGCCGAGGCAGGCAGATCATGAGGTCAGGAGATCAAGACCATCCTGGCCAACACGATGAAACCCCATCTCTACTAAAAATACAAAAAAATTAGCCAGGTGTGGTGGCAGGCACCTGTAGTCCCAGTTACTCAGGAGGCTGAGGCGGGAGAAAGGAGAATTGCTTGAACCCAGGAGGCAGAGGTTGCAATGAGCCGAGATCACGCCACTGCACTCCAGCCTACGTGACAGAGCGAGACTCTGTCTCAAAAAAAAAAAAAAAAAATCTGAAATATTTCTAAATTCTAAAATTTAAACTTGTAGTCACCACTGCAGCCAGTTATTCCCACTGGTGCCAGGGACTAAAAAGTACATGTGAGGCTGGGCACAGTGGCTCACGCCTGTAATCCCAGCACTTTGGGAGGTTGAGGTGGGCAGATCACTTGAGGCCAGGAATTCGAGACCAGCCTGGCCAACATAGTGAAACCCCATCTCTACTAAAAATATAAAAATTAGCTGAGTGTGGTGGTGGGCACCTGTAATCCCAGCTACTTGGGAGGCTGAGGCAGGAGAATTGCTTGAACCTAGGAGGTGGAGGTTGCTGTGAGCTGAGATAGTACCACCGCACTCCAGCCTGGGGAATAGAGTGAGACTCTGTCTCAAAAAAATTAAAAATAAATAAAAATAAATAACAAAGCGCATGTGAACTTATATCATGGCACCTCCAAATTCTGAAAGCTTGAAAATACCATTTCTCATAATCTGTACTTTAACAAATACTTTAGATTTAGTGACTGTTAAATAAATTTATATTTTGAGATACCAGCATTTAATATTTTTGTTAAAGTTAGGTGCCTAGGCTGGGCATGGTGGCTCATGCCTGTAATTATAGCACTTTGGGAGGCCTAGGCAGAAGGATCACTTGAGGCCAGGAATTTGAGCTTGAGCAACAAAGCAAGATCCTGACTCTATTAGAAAAAAAAAAAAATAGCTGGGCGTGGTGGTGTCTGCCTGTAGTCCTAGCTATTCGGGAGGCTGAGGCAGGAGGATCAAGGCTTCAGTGAGCTATAATTGCAACACTGTACACCAGCCTGAGTGATACAGCTAGATGTTGTCTCAAACAAAAACAAAAACATGACCAGGCGCGTGCAGTGGCTCACACCTGTAATCCCAGTACTTTGGGAGGCCAAGGCGGGCGGATCACGAGGTCAGGAGATCAAGACCATCCTGGCTAACACGGTGAAACCCCGTCTCTACTGAAAATACAAAAAAATTAGCCGGGGGTGGTGGGGGTGCCTGTAGTCCTAGCTACTTGGGAGGCTGAGGCAGGAGAATGGCGTGAACCCAGGAGGCAGAGCTTGCAGTGAGCCGAGATTGTGTCACTGCACTCCAGCCTGGGCGACAGAGCGAGACTCCGTCTCAAAAACAAAATGAAAACAAAAACAAACAAACAAAAAAACATAAAATCAGATGCCTAAATGCAAATCTACACACTGTATCTTTTTCAAAGGCACGTTACTTTTTCTTCTAAAATGCTGATTCTTCCATTGTTTCTATTTATGAACACATTTTAACTATGTAAATAAATCTTCAGCTAGAGTAATACTATAATCTTTTTTTTTTTTTTTTCAGACGGAGTTTCGAGCTTGTCACTCTCAGCTCACTGCAACCTCTACCTCCCGGGTTCAAGTGATTCTCCTGCCTCAGCTCCCAAGTAGCTGGGATTACAGGCGCCCACCACCATGCCCAGCTTATTTTTGTATTTTTAGTAGAGACAGGGTTTCACCACGTTACCCAGGTTGGTCTCGAACTGACCTCAAGTGATCCGCCCACCTTGGCCTCCCAAAGTGCTGGGATTACAGGCGTGAGCCACTGCACCTGGCTCACAATACTATAATTTTTTTTTAGGTGCTGGAATTATAGGCATGAGCCACCAGAGCAGCCAATATTGTAATTTTAATTCTAACTTTGTAGAAATGTTTGTTAAATAGGAATAGCTAGGTTAACAACTTGCCTATTCTGAACATTAAGTAAACATTTTCTGGATTTTGTTTAATAAATACTTTCACCCATTATTGAGCTTACAATTTTAATCCACTTATGAGAATTCAGACCTTATCCCCACAAATAAAGAACTATTACTTTGACTTCTTCAGAGTATGCTAAACAAATAAAAATGATACAAAAATCGCATACACTTTTTACAAAGAAATTGTGATTAAATATTAGTATCAGGATAAATAATAAGGGACAACTATGGATTAATTTCAAAAGTCTCATACCTTGGTCGAGTTAGAATGTTCAATTTTCGTTTAAGTTCTTGATGTTATTATTTGTTAAGGAGGATAAGCCCTCATTTAATAAGGCAGATCATAAAATTCAACTACTACTACTGTAACTTTTGGTATCAGAATATTATAAAGATAAAAGACCCACGGATATTTTGAGGATGACACACTTATTGAGCTTCTATTTTGTTGCAGGGGTAGGGTTTTGAAACCCAAAATTAAACTACAGTTTTTATCCTTTCGAACATACATTCTAAGACACGATCCTGAAGTTCTACAGACTAACAAACCGAACCCAAAACATTATTAAATCATCAGTGTTCCTGTGAACAACCTTTCAACAACCACTATGTGATAAAGAGAATGCAGTATAACGAGCTGTTAACAACTTTAGAATGTGGAATAAATCTATGGATATCCACTGTAGAATCCTTTCAACTTTTCATTTTTTTTGAGACAGAGTGTCGCCCTGTCGCCCAGGCTCCAGTGCAATGGTGTGATCTCGGCTCACTGCAACCTTCGCTCCCAGGTTTAAGCGATTCTCCTGCCTCAGCCTCTCGAGTAGCTGGGATTACAGGCACGCACCACCACGCCCGGCTAATTTTTTGTATCTTTAGTAGAGGCAAGGTTTCACCATGTTAGCCAGGCTGGTCTCGAACTTCTGACCTTGTGATCAGCCCGCCTCGGCCTCCCAAAGTGCTGGGATTACAGGCGTGAGCCACCGTGCCCGGCTTCAATTTTTGTATTTCGAAAATTTTCCTCACAATGTGGAGGAAGATGACATTCTGAAAAAATAAATCAGGCTTCAAAAACCTCAAAAGCTGATATCCTGGCTGGGCGTGGTGGCGGGCGCCTGTAATCCCAGCTATTCGGGAGGCTGAGGCAGGAGAATCGCTTGAACCCGGGAGGCGGAGGTTGCAGTGAGCCGAGATCGTGCCACTGCACTCCAGCCTGGGCGACATAGTGAGACCCCATTCCCCCATCCCGTCCCTCCAAAAAAGCTAACATACCAGTCACCTTCAGTTCTCCTTACAAATTTTAAAAGGAAAACTACCCGAACCAAAGTTATCTATCTACCTATAAAACTCCTAAGAACGTAAAAAAACATACTAGCAAATCAAGAAAAATCTGCAATCTTGTAACTCAAGTCTAACAGAAACTTCTTTGGCGCTTTTTCCCAAGGTGCTGCAAAGCATCTTCAGCACAGAAGCGAGCTCCGACTGGAAGAACTCTAAAATTAATCCCCAATTTAAATCAAGCAATTAACCAATTATCTCAGCACACCCGGATTCCTTGAGGTCCCCAACTCTGCATTCTGGGACCACTAGCGTTTGCCCCGGTATAAAAACTGATCCCGCGTCTAAGCAGCCGGTATTTCATCACCTACAACTATAACATGACGGCACAACTTGAGCGTGGCTGCAAAATATGAAACCTTATCACGACCTCAAAAAGAGGCGGGCAAGCAGGGGCCTGTGTACAATCTGTCAGGTGAGCAGCCTAAAATAACCCTAAACCCGGGTGGGAGGCAAGAGTGGGTCTGGTCAGGAGACGGCCTCCCTGAGGGGAAGAGGTCTGCGCCGAGGCGCCGGGGCAGCCTGCGCGCCCCAAACCCTAGACTCTCGGCCCGCCGGCGGGTGACAGAAATCACTTGGAATTCTGGCCCTCCTGGAATTTCCGCCCGCGCCCTCACCCTCTCCCGGCGCTGCCCCGGCCCCACGCCCGGGTGACAGGGCCCAGCGAGCGGGAAGGATATTCTCGGCGCGGAGCTGCTCGATGGTCTCCTCGCACTGCCGAAGCCGCTCCCGTAGCTCCGCGTCGCCGACCCCATTTTCGTCCTCCTCGTCGCCGTCCTCGTCCTTGAAGCGAGTGTGAACGGGCTTCAGAATCGACTCCTCTGGGTGGTCGAACGGCTCGAACAGCTCTAGATCGCCAAAATACACCTCCGCCGCCATTTTGGGCTGTGGAAAAGATTCGAGAAGAGGCGGAGCCGGCCACCAGGGCTGGGGGACGAAGGTTGGAAGGCGCCACCACTCTCCAGAGCTCTGGCCGCGCGGAGCCACCCGCTAGGGTTTTGTCCAGACGCAGGCCGCGAAAGCTGCACACGGGGCGGGGCCAGTCGCTAGAGACTACAACTCCCAGAATGCAGCGGGGCCTATCGGGGCTAGCGATTGCCCGGAATATGGCATGCTGGGACGTGTGGTTTCTAAGCGACTGGCACTCATTGTCTGCATTGCATCCTGGGATTGGTGCTTTTTGAAACGCGAAGAAAGCCGGAGTAGGTCAGAATGCGCTAAAGCAATATGGGGCCAGGGGGCGGTGGTTCACGCCTGTAATCCCAACCATTCGGGAGGCCGAGGCGGGAGGATCACGTGAGCCCAGGAGTTGGAGACCACCCTGGGCAACAGAGCGAGACCCAGACACTACAAAAAATATAAAAATTAGCTGGGCGATTGTAGTCTCAGGTGCTCGGCAGGCTGAGGCGGGAGGGTCCCTTGAACCCAAGGGGTCGAGGATGCATTGAGCCCAGATGGCGCCATTGCACACCAGCTTGGGCGACAAAGCAAGACCCTGTCTCAAAAAGAAAAAGAAAAACAAAAACCAGTATGAGATGTTCCTATTAGGTAACTAAGGCTGAAAAATCAGAGCACGACGCATAGCTTCCTCACAGATTCTGGTGTGCATGCCACACCAGAGAATAAGGAACTCCATAGCCTGAAAGGGAACTGAATAAAAATAAATATACAAGAGAATAAGAAACTCCAGCTTTGCTACAGAGATGACTGTTGTAGATACAAGTTAGTTTATTGAGCTTGCTTCGTTTTTAATGTAAGATTAGCTAGATTCGACTATTTTAGTCTGTTGAGGCTTTCTGTGGTTTCTCTTGTTCAATCACTTGTTCATTCAATCACATTATTTATTTACACCATCAATGGGCCAGGCACTTGTCTAGGACTTGAGTATGCAAGAGTAACCACAATAGAGTAATTCCTCCTCTCACAAAGGCTGTAGTCCACAAAAAGCAACAAAAACCCCATAATTATAAATGTTCTTGGGTCGAGATGGATGTTGATGGATATTCATCACATAAAGAAATGTGGGCCGGGCGTGGTGGCTCATATCTGTAATCCCAGCACTTTGGGAGGCCGAGGCAGGCGGATCACGAGGTCAGAAGCTCAAGACGAGCACGACGTCTCGAGACGACATAAAGAAACCCTGTCTCTACTAAAAATACAAAAATTAGCCAGGTGTAGTGGCGCACGCCTGTAATCCCAGCTATTCACAAAGCTGAGGCAGGAGAATCGCTTGAGCCCAGGAGGCAGAGGTTGCAGTGAGCCGAAATCGTGCCACTGCACTCCAGCCTGGGAGACAGAGCAAGACTCTGTCTCAAAAAATAAGAAAAAAAGGTGAAAAACACAGGAAGTTATGAATATTTAACAAACACTCTGGTCTGTGGGAGTCAGTGAAGTGAGGAAGTCAGTGAATGGGCAAAGTTAGGGGTGGGCACATGGGAGGATGGAAGGAAGAGTCTTAGGTATAAGAACCACCATGTTGAGTGAAAAGGGAGAGTGGAGCAAGATGAGGCTGGAACACTACTAGGGCAGTACTCAAAGGCCCTTAAGGAAGCCTCTCTCCATTCACAACATCGGGAAGTCATTTACACATTTTACATTTTTTTGTTGTGGACAACGGGATCTCCCTGTATTGCCCAGGCAGGTCTTGAACTTCTGAGCTAAAGCTATCCTCCTGCCTCTGCCTCCCTAAATACTGGGATTACAGGAATAAGCCACTATGCCTGGCCATTTAAATTTTTTGAAATTTTACTGAGACACAGTCTGACTCTGTCACCCAGGCTGGTGTGCAGTGGCACGATCCTGGCTCACTGCAACCTCCACCTCCCAGGTTTACTTTCACTGAAAAATCCACGATGCAAGGCGCAATGGCTCACGCCTGTAATCCCAGCACTTTAGGAGGCCCAGGCGGGCGGATCATGAGGTCAGGAGTTCAACACCAGCCTGGCCAACATGGTGTAACCTTGGAGTTCGAGACCAGCCTGGCTGACATGGTGAAACCCCGTCTCTACCAAAAATACAACAATTAGCCTGGCATGGTGGTGGGTGCCTGTAATCCCAATTACTCACGAGGCTGAGGCAGGAGAATCGCTTGAATCCAGGAGACAAAGGTTACAGTGAGCTGGGATCACGCAACTGCACTCCAGCCTGGCCAACACAGACTCTCACAAAAAAAAAAAAAAAAAAAAAAAAAAAAAAATTCTGCATGTAAGTGGACCCTGAAAGTTCAAACCCATGTTGTTCAAGGGACAACTGTAATTTCATCTTTTAATTATTTGCATTTGGCTACTCAAAAAAGAAACTGAAATAAAAGATTACTGTTAGGCCAGATACTGTAGCTTCACGCCTGAATCCCAGGTAGCACTTTGGGAGGCTGAGACGATGCAGATCATTTGAGGTCAAGAGTGGGAGACCAGCCTGGCCAACAGCTTGAGAACCCCATCTCTACAAAAATTATCCGGGTATGTTGTCATGGGCCTTTGGTGCCAGTTACTCAGGGGAATGAGGTGGGAAGATCACTTGGACCAATATACATAGATGCACATATGTATTTTATTGGACAGTGCTGTTCTAGATGAGTAAAGGACAGGCTGTAACACTCATTATGTATGGTCAGCTCCTAAAATAACTGTAGACACACAGGAAGCTTTTGTGTCCACACTGCCTTACAAGGTCATGAACATTTTTAATACTACTGATTTGAAAAGAGAGACCTTAATTGAAAAATGTGATGATCACAAAATGAAGGATCCATAGTGTTGTTTCCTTGGAAGGCTTAGATTTGTCGCTGAAACACGGTGAAAAGCCATTTTCCCATAGAATTACTGTGCTCTGGGAAAACGAAAGGTTTATTAAAATATATTAAAAATCTTATAATCTGGCTGGGTGAAGTGGATCACACCTGTAACCCCATCACTTTGGGAGCCCTGAAGTGGGAGGATGCTTGAGGCCAGGAACTCAAGACCAACCTGGGCAACATAACAAGACCTTGTCTTTACAAAAAATTAAAAACAAGCTAGGTGTGTTGGTGAGCACCTGTGGTCCCACCTACTGAAGAGGCTGAGGTGGGAGGACTGCTTGAGCCCCGGGGAGCCTACTGCACTGCACTCCAGCCTAGGACAGAAAGCATAAAGAAAACACCCCATCACTTGATTTTCATGTATAAGAAAAATATACCTAATGAGCAAGTTGGCAGGACTTAATTCCAACTTTTAAAATAAGGCTGTCAATCTTATTCCTATAGTCTTCCCTGATTGTAATGTGCTCTCATACTGTGATGTTTTCCAAAGGAAAGCCAAACCTTATTACTTTGTTGTAACGAAGTAAAAGTTTTGCAGGGCTCCTCTACCCCTTAGTTTCAGATTTATGCTCAATCTAGTAACAAAACCTTTTCTAGGCCAGGTGCAGAGGCTCACGCCTGTAATCCCAGCACTTTGGGAGGCTGAGGGTGGATCACCTGAGGTCAGGAGTTCGGGACCAGCCTGGCCAACATGGTAAAATACCATCTCTACTAAAAATACAAAAATTAGCTGGGCGTGGTGGTGGGCCTGTAATCCCAGTTACTTGGGAGGCGGAGGTGGAAGAATTGCTTGAACCTGGGAGGCGGAGGTGGAAGAATTGCTTGAACCTGGGAGGCAGAGGCTGCAGTGAGCCAAGATTGTGCCACTGCACCCAGCCTAGGCAAAAGAGCGAGACCCTGTCTCAAAAACAAAAATGAAAAAAATTTTTCTAATATTTTATAGTCTATGTTGGAGAAGACTCCAAAGGGATAATGAGCAAAAAGCATACAAAGAACTTGTCATAAGGCACTTTATTAAAATAAAAGTGCTTACATCCCTTTAATGCATTAATCTATTTCCTGAATAACACATGTAATATTTGACAAACACTGAATACCAAGTCTGTCCCTTATAATAGGAAAACATACTATTTTAATAAGTTTTCTCCTCCCACCTTTTACATTTTTGCTCACCATGGTATTGCCTGTAGTATAGTTAACTGGCCTTAAAAAGGGCCGGGGTGGGGGTGATTTCTAGCTAGTGTTTTCTAACAGCAATTGCCAAATGCTACAGAAACCATAAAACAAATTCAAAGAAACATCCCAGGTAACTTAAATTAACACCAGTTTTGAGAAAACCATTTTTATTGTCATCACCACCCAGCTTATCTGTGCTGGATTATGTACCAAATGGCCAGATTTTCTAAAGAACATCTACATAACATTTCTTTCATGTTTCAAGAGATGAAAATAACTGTACAAGGTTAAGTACAAAAGTACACAAGACAGCGGACACGAAAAAATCCATGTATGAGATTTTATCCCCACCTGCAGCTTTTATATATTTGAAAAGTAGAATTCATGAACTAAAAAATATTGTCCTTCTATAGTCCTGTCAAGTTTAATGGAAGTGGGTTTAACCTGATTACAACACTAACACCAGTATCACTGATCTGATATTTACAAAAATTTGTATTTTTCAATAAATTAAAGTCAATGCAACACCCATGCAAGCTAGAATGCTAGCTGTTTGGTGAACAAGGACCTGACATCAGAACAAGAAGTCTATAAGTCCCAAACTTTACAAGTGTCATCATTTTCAAACTGCATCCATTCCTCGCATTGAAGATGTGAAACCCAAACCCATTCCTCTTTGTGTGTGGGTCTGTGATCTTGCCATTTCATACTGAGCATCTAAATTTCGAAATACTTCTTCCTGTTGCTTCAGAGTCTTGTAACTTTCTTCATCAACTGAGCTACACCCAGCTTCATCTTCACTCTAAAGATCAGACATAAAACATTACAGTGAATTCAGATGGAGATAAATATTCTCTCACTTGACACTATTTTTTATTTATTTTTTTGCAGTCTGGAGTGCAGTGGTGCCATTCTTGGCTCACTGCAACCTCTGCCTCCCGGGATTAAGCAATTCTTATGCCTCAGCCTCCCAAATAGCTGGGATTACAGGCGCACGCCACCACGCCCAGCTAATTTTTGTATTTTCAGTAGAGATGGGGTTTCACCACGTTAGTCAGGTTGGTCTCGAATTCATGACCTCATGATCCGCCCACCTTGGCTTCCCAGTGTGCTGGGATTACAGGCATGAGCCACCACGCCCAGTCCCAATTTTTGTATTGTTAGTAGAGATGGGGTTTCACAATATTGGTCAGGCTGGTCTCGAACTCCTGACCTCAGGGATCCGCCCCCCCTCGGCCTCCCGGTGTTGGGATTACAGGTGTGAGCTAGGCTGACACTATTATTAAATCATACTTTTGGCTGGGCACAGTGTGGCTCATGCCTGTAATCCCAGGACTTCGGGAGGCTGAGATGGGTGGATCACCTAAGGTCAGGAGTTCGAGACTAGCCTGGCCAACGTGGTGAAACCCCGTCTCTACTAACAAAACAAAACAAAACCAAAACAAAAAAATATATACTTTTGGGATGTGTATTTGATCTCGATGACTTAATTTCCATTCATTATTAAACACCTCCATAGTACAAAGCAATATTCTTTCTAGGTCTGGAATATAGCAGGGTGTACCAAAGTTAACTTCGATTTAGTAGGTTGGAAAAAACATAGTATGTAGAAGTAGTCAGGGTATAAATGCCACAGAGGAAAGCAAAATAGAAAACGGGGATGGAGGCTGGGCGCAATGGCTTGGAACTGTGATCCAGGGCTTTGAGAGGCCAAGGTGGAAGGACTGCTTGAGCCCCGAAGTTTGAGGCTGCAGCGAGGTATGACTGCACCACTGTACTCCAGCCTGAGTGACAGAGCAAGCAGAGCAAGACTGCGTCTCTCTCACTAAGTGTGTGTGTAAGGGAGATAGGAATGTTTCAGAATGGGACTGCTTGTTGTTTTACAAAAGGTGGTGGGAAAGAACTCAAACACTGACACCTGAGCAAAGATCAGAACTAAGAAAATGAGGGAAGATTAGTGCAGGACGGCTAACAGCTACTGCAAAGATTCCCTGGCACATTTGAAACTCACCTTAATACCCATCAACTTCCTAAATTTGACATTTTGGTCCTTGTTTCCAAAATTCAATTTTTCCCATATTTCAGCAGATTGGGATTTGTCCTGTTAAGAAACATTAAACTTTAAAACATGTAAAATTTAAATATATTTTTTAGGACATGAAATACCTCAACAATGTCTCAATGAAAAAAACAAACAGCATGGATGGCATTCAATCAATGTAAGTTTAATTACTTCAAGACTTAAGAAACCACAAAGCAGGCTGGGCACGGTGGCTCAAGCCTGTAATCCCAGCACTTTGGGAGGCCGAGACGGGTGGATCATGAGGTCAGGAGATCGAGACCATCCTGGCTAACACGGTGAAACCCCGTCTCTACTAAAAATACAAAAAAAAACTAGCTGGGCGAGGTGGCGGGCGCCTGTAGTCCCAGCTACTCTGGAGGCTGAGGCAGGAGAATGGCGTAAACCCGGGAGGCGGAGCTTGCAGTGAGCTGAGATCCGGCCACTGCACCCCAGCCCGGGCTACAGAGCAAGACTCCGTCTCCAAAAAAAAAAAAAAAAAAAAGGAAACCACAAAGCAAAGAAATATAAGCAAGAGGTTCCAAGAGGTTGGTTATTACTCCTGTAATCCCAGCAGTTTGGGAGGCCGAGGCGGGCAAATCACCTGAGGTCAGGGGGTTGAGACCAGCCTGGCTAACATGGTGAAACTCCGTCTCTACTAAAAACACAAAAAGGTAGCCTGGCGTGGTGGTGGGCACCGGTAGACCCAGGAGGGTCTCAGGAGTCTGAGGCAGGAGAATTGCTTGAACCCGGGAGGCAGAGGTTGCAGTGAGTCAAGATCACGCCACTGCACTCCAGCCTGGGCGACAAGATCAAGACCCTGTCTCAAAAATAAAAAAAATGGATTCTTTTCCTGTCATAGGTCTTTTTTCACATGCAATTTTTGCAACTGCATATGCCATCTGCAATTAATGTCATTTGTCATTGCAAATAATGTTTAAAAAACATAAAACAAAAAACAAAAACCAGTAGCTCATAATCTATGAAAAATCCTAAACCAAGTAGTCTCTTTTCCTTAATACTACGTATTATTAGTTTTCTTCGAAAGCTTGACTTCCATCAATTATGTTTTATTTTAGTATTAACAACTGGCAAATAAGACTATCCTAGCTTTTTGGTTTTTTTTTGTTTTGTTTTGTTTTGTTTTTTGAGACGGAGTCTCGCTCTGTCGCCCAGGCTGGAGTGCAGTGGCGCGATCTCGGCTCACTGCAAGCTCCACCTCCTGGGTTTACGCCATTCTCCTGCCTCAGCCTCCTGAGTAGCTGGGACTACAGGCGCCCGCCACCGCGCCCGGCTAATTTTTTGTATTTTTAGTAGAGACGGGGTTTCACCGTGGTCTCCATCTCCTGACCTTGTGATCCGCCCGCCTCGGCCTCCCAAAGTGCTGGGATTACAGGCGTGAGCCACCGCGCCCGGCCTGCTTTTTGTTTTTTGAGACAGGGTCTCAACTCTGTGCCCGAGGCTGACGTTGCAGTGGCATTATTTTTTTATTTTCATTTTTTTGAGATGGAGTTTCACTGGAAACTCACTCACTACAACCTCCACCTCCCAGGATCAAGCAATTCTCCTGTCTCAGCCTCCCAAGTAGCTGGGATTACAGGTGCACACCACTACGCCTGGCTAAGTGGCATGATCTTGGCTCACTGTAGCCGGTGCATAACAGGCTCAAGCGATTCTCTTGCCTCAGCCTACCACCACACCCAGCTAATTTTTAAATTTTCTTTTTTTTTTCTTTTTTTGAGACGGAGTCTCACGCTGTTGCCCAGGCTGGAGTGCAGTGGCGCGATCTCGGCTCACTGCAAGCTCCGCCTCCTGGGTTCACCCCATTCTCCTGCCTCAGCCTCCTGAGTAGCTAGGACTACAGGCGCCCGCCACCGCGCCCGGCTAATTTTTTGTATTTTTAGTAGAGACGGGGTTTCACTGTGGTCTCGATCTCCTGACCTTGTGATCCGCCCGCCTCGGCCTCCCAAAGTGCTGGGATTACAGGCTTGAGCAACCGCGCCCGGCAAATTTTCTTTTCAGTACTGACAGGGTTTTGCCATGTTGACTAGGCTGGTCTTGGACTCCTTATCTCAAGAGATTCGCTTGCCTCAGTGTCCCAAAGTACTCGGATTACAGGCATAAGCCACCTGCGTCTGGCCATCCAAGGTTCTTAGAAAGGTAAGCCCAAAGTAATCTTTTTCAATCCAAATTTGTTTTTCTAAGCAATTACTAATTAGGAATAAATGATAGAAGAGCAGAATAAGAGAACTTACCCCTTCTTTCTTGCCCTGCCAAAGCATTTTCCTTTTTTTCTCTTGTTCAGCAAATTTCATTGGATTCACAGCTGCTGGGTTATAGTAGCTAGGAACAGCTATTCCTGTCTCTGCCAAAGCTTTAGCTTGCAGGGCTGCCATCTGAGCTGCCATGGCTATCTGAGGTGTTACTTGTGTTCCTGATGCCAACAGGGCAGCAACATTGAGAACAGAACCTCCAGTAGCTGCAGCTGCTTGAAGAAGATATAAAAATGGTTTTTAAAACATAAACAAATCTCCAAATTACATTAACAAATGATTTATAAAACGCTATGAATGTGCAAAAAGGCAGGATTTTCACAAAATACAAGGAAATGACTGTGTATTAGCTCACAAGTAAGTTTTTAGCAAACACTTACTGTGTTTATCAATGGACATATTTCTGCATAAACCCTTCATATACATTAAAAACCATTTATTGCCAGGCGCGGTGGCTCATGCCTGTAATCCCAGCACTTTGGGAGGCCAACGTGGGCGGATCACCTGAAGTTGAGACTTCGAAACCAGCCTGACCAACATGGAGAAACCCCGTTTCTACCAAAAATACAAAATTAGCTGGGCGTGGTGGTACATGCCCATAATCCCAGCTACTCGGGAGGCTGAGGCAGGAGAATCACTTGAACCCAAAAGGCGGAGGCTGTGGTGAGTCAAGATGGCACCATTGCACTCCAGCCTGGGCAACAAGAGTGAAACTCCGTTATCAAAACAAAACAAAAACCCATTTATTTACTTTGAGGACAGAGAATTCTGCAAATAGTAAGGAGGTATGATTTCGGTGGAAATGAACTAGTGTCTTTAAGGTATGATCACAAAAAAATAAAACCTTACATTTTTTTAAATTTATGAAATCTTCTCATGGACATTTTGTTTGATGCTCACATCAAGTATCTGAAAAACTGTATGCAGGTAAGGCTGGGCACAGTGGCTCACACCTGTAATCCCAGCACTTTAGGAGGCCAAGACAGGCGGATCACAAGGTCAGGAGTTTGAGACCAGCCTGGCCAACATAGTGAAACCCCATCTCTACTAAAAACTACAAAAAAATTAGCTGAGCGTGGTGGCAGGCGCCTACACTCCCAGGTACTCAGGAGGCTGAGGCAGGAGAATCACTTGAACCCCAGAGGTGGAGGTTGTAGTGAGCTAAGATCGTGCCACTGCACTCCAATACGGGCGACAATATGAGCCTCCGTCTCCAAAAAAAAAAAAAAAAAAAAAAGGAACAGTATGCAGGTATTATGCTAAGGCCAAGTTGTTCAATAAAGCCCCGGTATTTCCACTGTGATTGAGGCAGTCCTCTGTAAACAAAGACACCTCTGATTACCTATTTTTGTCAGTCCAGAATATAACCTTAAAAAGTTCTAATTTACCAACATTATGGGAACCAGAGTTATGAAAGATTGTAATGATGTATTAAAAACAAAATGGCTATTTGTAAACCTTTGGAGTTTCAAATAAGCGCTACTGTTTACCAGGAATGTAAACAACAACAAAAAACCATCTTCCAGATTAAATTTCATGCCAAATCAACAGTAAGCTCTTCGTCATAATTTTCTTTCCTTTGCTTTTTGCGAGACAGGGTCTCGCTCTTGTCACCCAGGCTGGAGTGCAGTGGTATGATCTTGGCTCACTGCAACCTCTACCTCCTGAGTTCAAGCCTCCCGAGTAGCTGGGACTATAGGCGCATGCAACCACGCCTGGCTAATTTTTGTATTTTTAGCAGGGACAGGGGTTTCGCCATGTTGGCCAGGCTGGTCTTGAACTCCTGACCACCTGCCTTGGCCTCCTGAAGTGCTGGGATTACAGGAGTGAGTCACTGAGCCAGGCCTGATACTTTTCAAAATCTGCCATGTTTGTTATGTCTAAAAACTTGATTTCTTGAAAGAGAAATAGGTATTTCACATCAGTTCACTTTCTTGCACAAACTGCATTTCCAAAATGGTAAAAGATATGTGGGGCCGGGTGTGGTGGCTCACGCCTGTAATCCCAGCACTTCGGGAGGCCGAGACGGGCGATCACCATGGTCAAGAGATCGACGCCATCCTGGTCCAACATGGTCTCTACTAAAACCCGTCTCTACTAAAAATACAAAAATTAGCCAGACGTGGTGGTGCGCACCTGTAGTCCCAGCTACACGGGAGGCTGAGGCAGGAGAATCACTTGAATCCAAAAGGCAGAGGTTGCAGTAAGCCGAGACCACGCCACTGCACTCCACCTCAGGCGATGGAGCGAGACTCCGTCTCAACAACAAAAAAATCTGTTGCGATGACTACAGTGTTACATGAACAAAAATACTCATTACCAACTTATCAACAAAAATTATCCACATGGACCACATCAGAAACAAGCTACAAAACACTTAAGTGAGAAAACACTAAAACTTTTACAGTGTACTGATGGGAAGTAGGAATCATAGGTGATTTTCTTCCTATTATTTTCTATATTTTTCAATTTTTCTACAGAAAGCATGTCAAACTTAGGCTGGGCGCAGTGGCTCATGCCTGCAATCCTAGCACTTTGGGAGGCTGAGGCAGGAGGATTGCTTAAGCCCGAGATCAACAATAGTCTGGGAAACACAGTGAAAGGTCCTCTCTACAAAAAGTAACTAAGAAAACAACTAGCCATGCATGGTGATGTGGGCCTGTAGTCCCAGCTACTTGGTAGGCTGAGGTGGGAGGATCACAGAATAACAGAGCAAATCCCTGTCTGAAAAACAAAAAAACCTGAAAGAGCTCAAATCGAGATGACTAAAAAAGAATTAAAAAAAAAAAAAAAAAAAAAACACAAAATTACCTGCAGCTATTTCTTGTTGTTTTTGTTTTTCAACCATTTCCTTTTCTCGCTGCTCTTGTAATTTCTTTGCCCTTTCCAACCTGCAAAAATAATTTCAATAAATTTAAAATAACACAATATAAAACCATTATGTATATATCTCCCTATATGTGCATGTACAGAGACAAGCCAATTTCCATAAAATTTTAAATTTTTAGCATCCCTCGGCTACTGATAACCCGTATGTGAAGAAAAAGCAATCATTCTTAAGATAGTATAAGTTACGTTTGAAGAACACAACAGTGGTTTTAAACATTTTTGAATTGACTAGCCAGAAATGGGCATAGTTTTTATATGCAGTTCCAATTAACAAGTGAAAAGAAATTACATCTTGCAAGTAACATTGAAAGCTGAGTAAATTTTAGAGCATGGTAAGTAGTAAATAAATTTACAGAATTATCTAAATGTTTCTTGAGGGAGAACAAGCCAGCCAATCAAGACATTCAGATAATTTTTTATATTAAACAGCCCTTAGTGAAGTCTTCAATTTAATAAAAATCAAAAAGTCAAAACTAAAAGGTCAAGCAAATCTTGCCATTCTGTGTAATCTAATAAAATTGGAGGAAAACTTCTCTAAATTAGGAAATTACTTCTAGCAGTTGAAGAAATTTATCATTTGCAAAGGAAGTGGTAATGTGAAACACAAATTCATCCCAAAACAAAATGAATTTTTTTTTTTTGAGACAGAGTCTCGCTCTGTCGCCCAGGCTGGAGTGCAAAGGCACGATCTTGGCTCACTGCAACCTCTGCCTCCCGGTTTCAAGCGATTCTCCTGCCTCAGCCTCTTGTGTAGCTGGGATTACAGGCGCGCACCACCATGCCCAGCTAATTTTTTTATTTTTAGTAGAGACGGGGTTTCACCAACGTTGGTCAGCCTGGTCTCAAACTCCTGACCTTGTGATCCGCCTGCCTCGGCCTCCCAAAGTGCTGGGATCACAGGCGTGAGCCACCGTGCACGGCCCAAAACTGAATTCTTGTTCATTCTATTCACTCTATTAAATGAGTAGTGTGCATATTCATTAAATTCGCTAACGAGAATTCGCACACTAAACAAGCTATATGTTAAGTTTACTCAAATATAGCAAATAACAAGTAACGTTATCTTCACAACGAATTCCTGAAAGAGAAAATTCTTTACTTCATAAGGATTCCCTGATTTATCAATCAAGCCAAATGCCACTAATGCCCTCTGTAATGTGGTATAAAGGGGACGGGATTGAGGAAACTTGTTTTTGTTCTGAGGCATTATGGGTAATATAAGGCAGGGGTAGTAAATTGGATTTGCTTTAAGAATTGTTAAGTTGGCCGGGCACTGTGCCTCTCGCCTGTAATTCTAACACTGTGGGAGGCTGAGGTGGGTGGATCACCTGAGGTAAGGAGTTCGAGTCCGGCCTGGTTAACATGCTGAAATTCTGCATCTACTAAAAATACAAAAAATTAGCAGGGCGTGGTGGTGGGCGCCTGTAATCTCAGCTACTCGGGGGGCTGAGGCAGAGGTTGCAGTGAGCCGAGATCACACCACTACACTCCAGCTTGGGCAACAAGACTCCATCTCAAAAAAAAGGAAAAAAAAATTGTTCAAATTTACATAAAAGAAATTTAACAAGCTGTAAGCACATATGCATGGAAGGCATAGCATAGGCTTGATTTTGTCCTTGAGAATAGAAGTCTATAGGAGTAACAATAAAATGTAGGCAAGGTGGCTCATGCCTGTAATTCTACCACTTTGGGAGGCCAAGGTGGGAGGATTGCTTGAGGCCAGCAGTTTGAGACCAGCCTGGCCAACATGGCAAAACCCTTCTTTATTAAAAAGAAAACAAAAATTAGCTGGGTGTGGTGATGCGCATCACTAATCCCAGCTTCTTGGGAGGCTGAGGCACCAGAATTGCCTGAACCCAGAAGGCAGAAGTTGCAGTGAGACGAGATCGCACAACTGTACTCCAGTCTGGGCAACATAACGAGAGACTTCGTCTCAAAAAATAATAATAATAATAATAAAATAAAAAATAAAAAAAAATTTAAAAAGTAGGTCACAGATCTGAAATCTATTTCCTCAACAGTTTTAAATCCCGACATTTAACACCAAAAAAGAAACCAATATAAAAGGTCTATACGTGGTAGTTTCTTATTAACAAAAAAATTCTCCACATTTCAAGGTAGTAAATAATCTGATATTCTGAAATTAAAGGACTACATTTAAAACTTTATCTGAAAGATCACCAAATAGTCTATGTCAATGAAATGTTAGATGCTATTAACAGCTTCACTTTAAAAAAATCCAAAAACGCAAACAGGTTAGACTTACAGCATTCAAGTAAATAACTTAAGGGCTTAAAAAATATTTGTCAGAGTTAATGAAATTACAATCCAGTATAAATTAAATCCTAATCTACTGATACTAGTTTCAGAAAGACGATATGAGTGACTACAACTGGTTGCATTAAAATGTCCACTGAAGATTTGGAATTAATACCATTCACTAAGGTGAATGGAAAGAAGGGGTGAGCTCACACTTTTGCTGCTGTTCAGCTGCAGTTTCTGTCAGGCTGGGTTCCCAGGGCAGCACATCAGGTTACACTGTGTTACCAGCCTGGGCAACATAGGGAGACCCCGTCTTCTCTACAAAAAATACAAAAATTAGCCAGGCATGCCTGTGATCCCAGCTACTTGAGAGGCTGAGGTGGGAGGATTGCTCGGGCCCAGGAATTCAAGGATGCAGTAAGCCGTCATCATGTGCCACTGCACTCCAGCCTGGGCAGGACCCTGTCTCAAAAAACAAAACACCTTAATTATGTAAAGAGAGAAAAAAAATCAAAATCTACAAAGTCTATTTTTCAAAATATGGGAAATGCTGCAAACAAGTGCTTGGATTTCATCTTAGTTTTTGCCTCTCTATGAGGCAGTTCTTTGAATAGTTTTGCAGATTTCAATACATAGCAGCGCTGTGTGTGGTTGCACCATTACTCATCTTTGAAACAGCAGAAAATTTGTGTGTGTGTGTGTGTCTTTTTTGAGACTGAGTCTTGCTCTATTGCCCAGGCTGGAGTGCAGTGGTGCGATCTCGGCTCACTGCAACCTCTGCTTCGTGGGATCAAGCAATTCTTGTGCCTCAGCCTCCAGAGTAGCTGGGATTACAGGTACCCGCCACCATGCCCAGCTAATTTTTGTATTTTTAATAGAGACAGGGTTTCACCATGTTGGCCAGGCTGGTTTCCCAACTCCTGACCTCAAGTGATCCGCCCACTTTGGCCTACCAAAATGCTGGGATTACAGGCGTGACCCACTGCACCCAGCCGAAACAGCAGAAAATTAAAAAAAAAAAAAAAAAAAAAAAACCACCAAAAACACAATGATCTCCCATAGTTATCAGGAATAAAACTTACAAGATCAAAGAAATTGGCTTATAATGTATTATCTGTTATTTGCCATCTTCAAAATAATAATATTGACAAAATTTTACTTACTGTTTCAGGTATTTTGTCTATTTGAGGGAGAAAAACAAAAAGTAAAGGAAAAGTCATCTTAGATGAGAAAATAATAGTTCTTGAACCAGATTTAAGACTCAAGAAAAAAGTTTCAAATGCAAACTGAAAATATTTGGGAGTCTAACTTTGAGAAAAATGAAATCAGTCAAATCACGAAGAAAAACACAGAAATTGTTGTAGACATCTCAATCTTTTAGTTGTGCAAATGTTTAAGATGAGAATTAAACTATTTACATAGTTCTAAATCACAAATATGCCCCCGTATTATTAGATTTAAGTATGCAAATCATTCTCTTACTGAAAGCATTCATCTTATCTACACAATTGAGCATTTATTTAAAGGTGAACAGGAACAAATGAATTAAGAAATATACACACCTTCTAGCTAAAGCTTCTTGTGCATCCATTGCTGTGTTTCTGCCTCTGAAGGGAGGTGGACTTGGAGTCCGGCTTAAACTTCTGCTAAATCTTCTCGGCTTTTCAATTCTCTTCTTTCTATCTCTGTAGTAAACCATATTTCATATGTCAAATTATGGCCGAGTCATAACTATTTTGTTAATAAGAAATCAATTATATTTACATAGTTCAACAAAAATCGCAACGATACAAAAATATTTACATTTTGAGATGCAAAAAATTTAAACTTCTCTGTTACAGCTGAACTCACTGGAAACAATTGTTTCCAACTCCCTCAACCCTTTTTAAGAGACAGGGTCTCACCATGCTGCCCAGCCTGGCCTCCGGTGATCCTCCTGCCTTAGCCTCCAGAGTACACAGGTCTACAAGCATGCCCCACTGCATCTGGCTGTTTCCAATCTTTTGCAAAGTATCCAATGTTGCAAAAGCTAGCCTTATACATTAGTCATTTTGTGCTCGTGTAGGTCAATACGTACACCACAGGAATCATTCCTATTTTCATCTATAGTGAATTTGTAGATATTTTTCAAAAATAAAAAGTTATTAACCACTAAAAACTAGATGTCTGGCTGGGTGCGGTGGCTCATGCCTATAATCCTAGAACTTTGGGAGGCTGAGGCGGGCGGATCACCTGAGGTCAGGTGTTCAAGACCAGCCTGGCCAATATGGTGAAACCCCGTCTCCACAAAAACACAAAAATTAGCCATGCATGATGGTGGGTGCCTATAATCCCAGTTACCCGGGAGGCTGAGGCAGGAGAATCGCTTGAACCCAGGAGGCAGAGGTTGTAGTGAGCCAAGATTGTGCCACTGCACTCCAGCCTGGGCGACAGAGTGAGACTCTATCTCAAAACAAACAAAAAAACTAGACGTCAGTGACCAAAAAAGCACTTAAAAAAAAATTTCTTAATTGGTAAGGTTCAAATTAGTGAACTACTACAAACTAGAACCACTGAGTAAAAATTCATACTGATTTAATAAAGATCAAACAAGTGATAAATCATAAAAACCAAGTTACTGTATTAAGCACAGGTCCCTTTTTAAATGTGTATTTCAATCTTTCATACATTGACCTAAGTTGCAATTAACAAAATAGTATACTACTGTCTTATGAAACAAGCAGAGAATAATGCATTCGTTGAAGAACATTTATAATTAGTTTTCCTCCTGTGCTCTTTATTGTACACTTCCTATCTCAGCAAAGCCTCCTCCCACCAATCAAGATAATCTAAATTGTGTTCATTTACAAACAAAATCTGAGGTAGTTTGCACAATACAGTGGGTTAAGCACATGGATGAAATTTGCATTTAGATATATCTGAAACCTGGTCCTGGCTCTAGCACTTAATGATATTGTTTTGGAATTCTGGGGCAAAAACGTCTTTAAGCATGATAGACTTACCTTTCAACATGGTTCTTCTGAGAACTAGATGAGCTAACGCAGACAAAGAGTTCTAGCATATAGCAAAGTGTAAGTATGCAAAATAGATTTCAGTTGTTTGTGAAAATAAAATAAATACAACGAATCCAGTGTTGAACACAACTGAATTTCTTTTGTTAAGACAGGATTCACTCCTGTCACCCAGGCTGGAGTGCAATAGCATGATCTTGGCTCATTGCAATCTCTGCCTTCTGGGCTCAAGCGATTATCCCACCCCAGCCTCCCAAGTAGCTGGGATAATAGGTGTGTGTCATCACGCCAGGCTAATTTTCATATCTTTTGTAGAGATGGGGTTTCACCATATTGCCCAGGCTGGTCTTCAACTCCTGGGCTCAAAAAATCTGCTCGCCTCGTTGGGATTACAGGTGTAAACCGCTACATCTAGCCAACAACTGGATTTTAATAGGCCTACTCATACCTGCATTTCGCAAGAGATTTATCAACCACACGAGAATACTTGTGAATGCTATTCAAGTGGCTAGGTCTGTTCTTCATATGTTAGGTAATGACTAAAATAATTTTACTATAATCTATAAATAAAATTGACCCACTATTTTAATATTCTGTTACTGAGAAGATAAATGGACTCTCTGAGGGTCCTATTAAATTTTATTCAGGATGATAGTCACCTACCGACTCCTACTCCTTGTCCTACTCCTGCTTCTAGTCCTATGCCTGTGTCTTGATCTTGAGCGGGAACGAGACCTGATCCGCCGTTTCCTTTCCCTGCTTCTGGATCTTGATTTCTTCCTCTCTCTGCTTCTGGATCGAGATTTCTTCCGCTCCCTACTCCTAGATCGAGACTTCTTCCGTTCTCTGCTTCTACTACGATGGCGTCTGAAATTAAAGTACACAAATTTGTAATTAAGAGTTGTGCTGTTTCACTTATATCCATCATGAATTAGTTATCTGTAGTAACACAATTAAGACAAGCAAGTAACTGCACTATATTATTTACAGAAATGTGACATTTTCAAAGGAAATAAACTAAAAATGAACCCTTCATTTTGTTTGATAATTTGTCCTAGAACATATTAAAGCTATTAACATGTCAAAAGTGTTCAATGCATCTTACCAAATTTAAGCTTCCATTTAATACTCTTCCCGCAGTAGTTACAAAGCTTAATACTTATCTACTGAAAATTTTAGTCTGATACCACACACACCCCACAGCATTCTCCAAAAAATACCCCACCAAAAACCATTCACAAATTTGAGCTGTGATCCAGTTTCTCAAAAATCTTTTTATCTATACTCCAACATCAAAAAAATCTAGATTGCAGTATAGCAGCAAACACCTTCTACATCACATCAATGACGCAAAAGGACTGTTTAGTGGCTTAACCCACACAGTTTAACAATATGATTTTTTCAGTGCCAGACAGATTAAGTGGTTAAAAATCTCAGCTGGACAGAGTGACTCACTCCTGAAATTCCAGCACTTCAGGAGGCCAAGGCTGGCCGGCACATTGCTTGAGCCCAAGAATTCGAGAACAGCCTCCACAACATGGCCAAAACCCGGCTCTACAAAAAATCCGAAGAGATTAGCTGGCTGTGGTGGCGCATGTCTGTGGTCTCAGCTGCTCAGGAGGCTGAGGTCGGATCACTTGAGCCCTGGAGGCCAAGAGGCTGCAGTGTGCTGAAAGCATACCACTGCACTCTAGTTAGGGCAACACAGAGACCATCTCAAAAAAGAAAATCTAGGCCGGGTGTGGTGGCTCACACCTGTAATCCCAGCCCTTTGGGAGGCTGAGGTGGGTGGATCACCTGAGGTCAGGAATTTGAGACCAGCCTGGCCAGCAGGGTGAAACCTCATCTCTACTAAAAATACAAAAACTAGCCAGGCATGGTAGCACATGCCTGTAATCCCAGCTACTTGGGAGGCTGAGACAGGAGAATTGCTTGAACCCAGGAGGCAGAGGTTGCAGTGAGCTGAGATCATGCCACTGCACTCCAGCCTGGGCAATACAGCGAGACTCCGTCTAAAAAAAAAAAGAAAGAAATCTAGGCACTTAGTTGAGATTTAGTCATCCCTTATCCCCCATTTTTGGAAACCATTTTTGATGACGAGAAAGCAAAGCCCAAAGCCCAAAGGAAAACAACAACGACAACAACACAAACCCAAACAAACGAACAAGAAAAACTCCCTAATTACGATTTTTTTTTGGGTGTTGCTGGGTTGATGAGAAACTTTACGTAACTCAAATCTTGTTAGAAGATACTAAATTATAATACAAAATGATTTACCTTTCACGAGACCTAGATCTTGAGTGACTTCTGCCTCTTGATGACTTTCTTTCTTTGCGTTTGTGCCTGTCCTCACCATTTTCAGATGAATTTAGTCGCTCTCTTCCTTTATCAGAAGAATGTTCTTTGTCATTATGTTCCTCAGACTTGTGTTTCTTAGAGGATTTATCTTTGGATTCATGTCTTCTTGCCTGTTTTAAGAAGAAGTTGGTTCTTTCAGGAAAATAGTGCAACAAAGAGAGTTAGTATGGGTATCAGTAGACAAAAAATGTTGTGATGCAACATTAGTAACCTTAGGAGTGTGTGGCAAATAAAAAAAAATGATCTAGTTTCACATCACCCAAATGTTGCAGATGTAATTACTAATTTTTTTTTTTTTTACTATAAACACCCAAAATGTAGTTCCTCCCCAAAATATTTTCAATACTACAATAGAAACAATGATTTTTAAAGTTGAAATATTGAAAAGCCATTATGCCAGACAAAAGAGGAATCCCTTATGTTTATCTAAAAGAATATAGACCATGTATATACATCAACTACTAAATCCAGAGTACATAATATTAAGTAATGGAGATAATGACACAAAAAGTGCACCAGAAACGCATTTCAATTAGTATAATTATTACTAAGTACTAATTATTTTCTATAATTTCAAATTATTTTACACAGAGATGCAGTGTCCCTTTTATAGTTATACTGCCCGCTACATCCTCTAAAAGATAGCTCTTGATTTTCCTCCCAATGTCTAAACTGTGAAGGAATCACTTTTCATCTTGCAGTATCCCAACAGGCTTGGAGGAGTATTACATTTCATGTACCTAGGGTAGAAATGGCAACTGTATGTTTTAATTTTAAAGAAACCAAACTAGGTATAACAATTAATCCACGTGCCACTACACAATACATACTGCCCCCATACTTTAAAAAGACCAAGGCCTTCACATGTGCATTCAGAGACTCAGCTAAAATTAACTGCATAATCAAGTCTCATCCTACCAAATACCAAAGTAGAAGTGCTACATACTACAGTTCCCTACAGGAAGATCTGTCAAATTCATCTTGTAGCTAAAACTTAAAATCCTAGACATCTCTGAATCACTAAATTTTAAATCTGGAAGGAAACTCATATCCTCTAACTTAATCCCTTTATTTTATGAACAACTAAGATCTAAAGTTACAAAGCTACATGGGTGAGCTGAACCTATATCCCATGTTTTTCTGATGCCCAGGCTACTACTTTTCCACCGTAATAAGACATTACTGTTTCCCAAAAGGCCATAGCATGTTTCTTTCCACTCACGATTAATGTTTCTTAAAAATAAAACTTGGCCAATCATTTTGGAACATGCATGATGATACAGCTGAAAATCATCATAGTATGTAATTTATTATTTGTAGAAAAATAAGAGACCTGGAGACACAACTAAATTTTAGTTTCATTGCCAGTTCTCTATATGAGCTTAGAAAAGAAATTTTTCTTGGTTTTGCTATAAAGAGGCAGACTGGAAAAGTCTTAAGTGGTTAAACTTCTAAAGGTTTTAAAGTTTATTTCAAACCAGTTTTTCAAACATAACATTACTATTAATTTAAAAAAAAAAAACATTAAAACCCTTAACTGATTTAAGATATATTTAAGGGAAATAGGAGTTTGAATGACTAATAGTTACCTTATCATGAAGTAGGCTTATTATTTTGCTATCTGAGTCTGCAGCGTCTTCAGTTCAGTCTCTTCGCGCATTAGCACGCTGAGTATGATTTATTATAGAAATGTTATCATGTGAGCTAAACAAAATAGTCATTTTCACAAAAACTCTCCTAAATTAAAAATTTAACAGAGCTTCCATTAGGGGAAGAGGTGAAGTCCCTGCCCACACTTGTTTTAGGAGTCCCTTGCCCAGCCCCCACAACTCTTCTTCCTTTCTGGCTAATACTTCTACTCTTCCTTATTGGCTCATTCCTGTCTTCTCAGGTGGGTGAACAAGTAACTCCTCTGCAATAGAGCTGTTGTCTTTCATTTTCCTCAAGTTTTGGTGTCACCGCCACCTTTTCAGCTGTCCCTCACTCAAACCTTTATTTCAAAATTCAATACTATTAGGGAAACTGAACTAGTTTGCAAAAGAAAAAACTCCTCTTATCATTCATAAAGAAAAAGCAGTCCACAGATATATAGGGTATTGCTATGTAAAGATGATTGCTGTTTAAAAATCCTGAGCAACTCTCAGGCACCAGGAGACTCGGGACCTCGAATTAATGGAAGCTCTGTGTGACAGGCCTAAAAAAAACCAATCATATTCTTCATATGAAATTTTTATTGTGAGTATTTTCACAATATAATAAAATTAAGGTTTTGAAGGTACTTTTCACATAAACATCTTCTTCAAAAATGATGAATAAAAGTCATGCTTATTTTATAACCCAATAAACCTTTTAAATTTCAAGTTTGGTACTTACCTTGACAAATGTCTTATATTCATACAAATCTTTCTACCAGACACTTTATAAGTATTTTAAAGTACCTATTCACTACAAAGTGTTAATTACCTCTTTGCTTCTGCTCCGGCTCCTGTGTTTTCTTCCTTCATTATCTGTGAATACACACAAAAATATTCACCATAAACAAAGTTGGAGAAACATCTCATCTCAAAAAAAACACTGGAGAGAAATCACTCCCATTAGTCTTCTTCCAATGACTAATTTTTTTATGGCACAAGTGGGATTATTCTACATTAATACAATACAAATGTGAAACAAATCAAGAAATCTGAGCAAACCAGGATATAAAGCAGCTTAGATACATCTTTTAAACAGTCATAGACTTTTAGTATTTTACATACATTCTGACCCCCCATCTAGTTTCCGAGTCTACAGCAAATTCATAAGGGGGTTTAGTAGAGACAGGTAAGCCATTAAGAAAAATAAAAACGGCCGGGCGCAGTGGCTCACGCCTGTAATCCCAGCACTTTGGGAGGCCGAGATGGGCGGATCACGAGGTCAGGAGATCGAGACCATCCTGGCTAACACAGTGAAACCCCGTCTCTACTAAAAAATACAAAAAACTGGCCGGGCGCGGTGGCTCAAGCCTGTAATCCCAGCACTTTGGGAGGCCGAGGCGGGTGGATCACGAGGTCAGGAGATCGAGACTATCCTGGCTAACACGGTGAAACCCCGTCTCTACTAAAAATACAAAAAATTAGCCGGGCGAGGTGGCAGGCGCCTGTAGTCTCAGCTACTTGGGAGGCTGAGGCGGGAGAATGGCGTGAACCCGGGAGGCGGAGCTTGCAGTGAGCCGAGATCGCGCCACTGCACTCCAGCCTGGGAGACACAGCGAGACTCCGTCTCAAAAAAAAAAAAAAAAAAAAAAAAAAAAAATACAAAAAACTAGCTGGGCGAGGTGGCAGGCGCTTGTAGTCCCAGCTACACAGGAGGCTGAGGCAGGAGAATGGCATGAACCGGGGAGGTGGAGCTTGCAGTGAGCTGAGATCCCGCCACTGCACTCCAGCCTAGGCGACTGAGCGAGACTCCGTCTCAAAAAAAAAAAAAAGAAAAAGAAAAAGAAAAACGAAAGAAAATAAACAGGTTGAATTATATTTGATATGTTCCAACATGGCAAAACCCTGTCTCTACTAAAAATACAAAAATTAGCTGAGCTTGGTGGCGCATGCCTGCAATCCCAGCTACTCAGGAGGCTGAGGCTGGAGAATTGCTTGAAGCCAGGAGACGGAGGTTGCACTGGGCTGAGATTGTGTCAATTTTTGTATTTTTGCTTCCAGCCTCAGGTGATCTGCCTGCCTTGGCCTCCCAAAGTGCTGGGATTACAGGCTTGAGTCACTACGCCCGGCCAACAAACTAAACGTATGTCTTCTTATACAACAGGTCTACATATCTTATACAAATGCTCATATACCACCTCTAAGAATTCATACCTGACTTTCGTTTTCTTTCTCTTGACCTTGATCGTGATCTTGAATAATGATGTTTTGAAGCTCTAGGAGAAACAGATATATCTGACTGCTCTTTTTTCTTATCTCTATCTGGTGATGTCTTTTCTGGGGCTAGTCCATCTCGTTCTGTATCACTAGCCTAAAAGTTTAAAAACAAATGATTAAAGTTCTTAATTACATTTTAAATGTTTTCAATTTCTTAAAAGAGGGACAAAGGAAGGGAAGATAGTCCCAGTCCCCCTCATCAATAAATCAGAATGCCTGCTTTCCAAATAGCTAAATATGCTTTGTATACTAGCAAGCCTGAATGACTTGAAATGACGAACCTGATAATTAAGCGAGAACATATTTAGAGTGATGTAGCTTTAGTTTTCTTTTTTTTTTTTTTTTTGAGACGGAGTCTCGCTCTGTAGCCCAGGCTGGAGTGCAGTGGCCGGATCTCAGCTCACTGCAAGCTCCGCCTCCCGGGTTCACGCCTTTCTCCGGCCTCAGCCTCCCGAGTAGCTGGGACTACAGGCGCTGCCACCTCGCCCGGCTATTTTCTGTATTTCTTAGTAGAGACGGGGTTTCACCGTGTTAGCCAGGATGGTCTCGATCTCCTGACCTCGTGATCCGCCCATCTCGGCCTCCCAAAGTGCTGGGATTACAGGCTTGAGCCACCGCGCCCGGCCTGTAGCTTTAGTTTTCTAACGATTATTTTTATAACTTTTAAAACATGGGGTGGAGTGAGGGAGGAATAAGGGCTCTAAGTATTTCCAATAAGCATTCAAGCAGAGAAAATACAGTCCTTTTCAGATGTGTGAATGCATTTAACTGACTTTACCAATACTTTTAAATTAGCATACACATCAATCAAAAATGAGTTGTTAAAGCCTAAAGATACTCAAGACCGTAAAATCTTAAAACAGAATGCCTTAAAAATATTATAAAATAATAAACAGAAAATTAACTTACCAAAGTGAGAACCTCATCTTAATGTCATAACCCTCTAATGAAAACAGCCCCTTGGCACAGTGCTGCTGGAAAATATGGTCTGCCTCTCCTCACATGTGCTCTGGGCTATGAAAACATTAAGTTGTTTCTGCTTTAAAGCATTTTGTAAGTAATTATTACAGTATAAATTTTACAAGTTTCAACTAATGCGGAAGGTAGACAATGGTTGGCTAACTGACCAGAGAAGATAATATGAAAATAAAATAATTGATACACCTGGGGAATTGATTACTTAGGAAGGGTTGGCAAGCTATGGTCCTCATCCTGTTTCTGTATGGCCTTGAGCTAGGAATGGTTTTAACATTTTTTTTAAAGTAGTTTAGGCATATTTAATAAATAACTTCAGTAAATAGCACTGTAAAGAGTGAACTGTTAAAACTAAAGGCACTTACAAGGCCAGTGCTGTGGCTCATGCCTGTAATCCTAGCATTTTGGGAGGTTGAGGTGGGCGGACAACCTGAGGTCATGAGTTTAAGACCAGCCTAGCCAACATGGTAAAACCCCGCTTCTACTAAAAACACAAAAATTAGCTGAGTTTGGTGGGGTGTGCCTGTAATACCAGCTACTTAAGAGGTTGAGACAGGAAAATGGCTTGAACCCAGGAAGCAGAGGTTGAAGTGAGCTAAGATTGCACTACTGCCCCTCCAGTCTGGGAAAGAATGTGACAGAGACTGCACATGGCCCACAAAGCCAAAAATATTTACTATCCAGCCCTTTACAGAAATAGTTTATGGACTTTTCACAACATCAGAAGGAATCTGGATTGAATAAAGAGGGAATCGATATAGTCTTCAGCAGAAGGAATCACATTAGAGAACTTCCTCCTTTAGGAAAATTAGTCCAGAAAATGAATACCAAATATCAAGTACAATGAATGGGTGTATTGCATTTTAACAAATGAAGATGTGAGAAGTCGGGTTACTTCAACAAGTATTTACTGAGGGTCAAAAATGTGCCAAAATCAATGCTAGACTTAGGGAATAAAACAATAAATTAAAAAAAGAAAGGTTTTACAGTTCAATTATGAGGTGAAAGACATAAATTACATGTTATTCCTCTAACAATGGTATAAAAAGAACAGTAAGAAATAAAAGAAAGTAACTCCCAGGGAGGCTCTCATGCCAGCATATTGTATACGTACTTATTTCTCCAGTCTGGGTGACTTCTGGAACCACAAAATTTTTATGCCGAAAGGTTTTCATCCCTTATAATAGAGTTCAACTTTGTCGTTTCACAGATGAGATCCAGCAACATCAGCTGACTTGCTTAAAATGATACTGCATCTCCATCTCTTTACTGTCTTTATTACTAATAAATGATGCTGTATTATTAAGGACGATTCTGATTTTTCAAGTGAATAGTGGACATTTGGATTTTTTTCATCATTCTCCTTAAGGACTATTTCAGACTCATCTACTACTTGCTAAGTGTTTGTACAGCTTACACTTGGTAAACAGAAGGGATCTCAAAAATTTCAAGCACCGCTATCACTTCTCTCAGTGCATGACACTTTGTCAGAGACAGAATTCCTTAACTACTGGCAATCCCATTTACTTCTGCAGAGAACAAGACTAGAATCAAAAGCAACCTTTGCATGGAAAAGTTAGGCAATTTTCAGGCAACGGTTTATCTAACTTTATGCTTAACATCACAAAGCTAGGCAACAGAGAAAACTCCCTGTGACACAGGCTAACCTAAACTTACATCAACCATTTTCATCTGTAAAACAGACTACGGAGCAACAACAAAAACCGTCTTAACACTAAACAGATAGGAATGACAGGTGGTCACTGAGGCCATGGAAAACTTTTATTTCCCTGAGGATATTTTATAGTAGCATAATGCAGGTATCCAGGAAAAAACCCACCAACTGAATATTAAAATTGCTCTGAAATTATCTAAGCTTTAATTTAGTACGAATCTATGTGTACACATAAACGTTAACTGCAAAACAGCCTTCTATTCCAGCACTGGCTCTACGAGGCAGCCACTTTGGTTTCTTACCATTTACATTTTGTTGCAAACTCTAATAACGGCTCGAAACATAGTAGACAAATCTTTTTCCACTGCGAAGGATGTAAGCACTGGATTGAATACTAGGCCACTTCTCTAGGGGACTGTCTTTTTATTGAACAAGGCACAGCAGAAGTACATGTTTGAATTCACTTTTTAAAATACTGGAACCCGGTCGGGCGCGGTGGCTCACGCCTGTAATCCCAGCACTTTGGGAGGCCGAGGCGGATGGATCATCTGAGGTCAAGAGTTCGAGACCAGCCTGTCCGACATGGTGAAACCCCGTCTCTACTAAAAATACAAAAAAATCAGCCGGGTGTGGTGGTGGGCACCTGTAACCCCAGCTACTTGGGAGGCTGAGGCAGGGGAATCACTTGAACCCGGGAGGCGGATGTTGCAGTGAGCCAAGATCGCGCCATTGCACTCCAGCCTGGACAAGAGCAAAACTCCGTCTCAAAAAAACACAAAAAAACCCTGCAACCCAAGAAAAATAGTATTACTCTTTAAGTATACTGAGGCCCAAAACACTAAACAAATGAAAACAGTAAGTAAAAACAACGAGTCCAAACTCAATCAACTAGATATTGGAGGGGTAGGGAGAGGAAGAAAATCATCTGCCTAATACCAGGCATTCCAATTATCGGGAAGAGCAAACTTTAAAATTATCACTACGTTTAAGAGTCATAATTATTACCGAAAATGATATAATTTTTTAGTCAGTAAAAAGGAATGTAAAATATTTATATTTTCCTTTTAACGGAATAAAAAAAGTAAGCATAATGTGGATCCGTCAGAATTGGGCATCTTACACACACGCAGGCTTATTGTTCAGAATAGGTAATTTACGAACGGCAGCTTCTCTTGGGTCAACGAAGGGTTTAAATTTAAAGAAGCAAGGTCAGTGACAAGACTTAACTATAATTCTTCTCGGACTTCAAATTGATGACATCACGGGCCACTTCGGAAACCGCGCATCAGTCAGAATTGGTAGTTCTACAACCTTTTAAGCTGAATTTTCACTCCCTTTCAGCAATACTTTCCTAGCTCGTTAATACACAATAATAAGGCTTACACTGACGAACACTAATTGAAATTTTACAACTAGAAACATCTCATTGACGGTACAAAAAAAAAAATCGCTACAAGTCGCTCTCTTCTGCCACACTATCCCTTAACAGACACCACCTTTTTGATCCAGTACTTTTCAGAGACCACTCCTGATCGTCTTTCTCTTTCCCAGCCCCTTTCTCCACTGCAAATTCTCAGGCCCTAAAAAAACTTAGCATAAATCACTAGCCAGGGTGAATAAGCGAAAATGGAGGAAGTTCAGCGGGGCAAAAGGAACGTAGGATTGGAGAAGAGAGGAGGAAAGTTCTGGAAAAAAAAGGCACTCCCTGCAGCTCCCCACCCCCATCAACACCGCCTTACTTCCCCCTCCCTACAGCAGGCAGCCATGATGGCGGGCGCAGAAGAAGGCCGCGGCGCCATTTTGTCCACACACATACACACGAACAAGGCTCTGGGAGCCGTTCACCCACTCCTTGGAATGTCGTAGAAAAATATCCCTGGCGTTAAACTCAGATTCGGTACCTACCGCCATAGTTCAGAGTCCCGGCCGCTAGAGCGGCGCCTCCACTTGTCGCTTTCAACAGTACCGGCCGCTCCGAAGCTTCGCCTCAGACTAAATCGCTCGCGCGAGAGACCCGGATGGCACAAAGGCGAGGAGGCCCGGCGCGTCGCACAGCTTGCTGGGAGTAAAAAGGGCGGTAACAAGAGTTTCTATAACAACGCAATTCGAGGCGGTGATTGGGTGTTCTTTCAAAGGGGCGTGTAAGGACCATGAAGAGGGCGGGGCCAAGAATACAGCCTAGGAATGCGCAGTCGGGAGAACAAAACTGGCGGAACTCAGGGTGGGGCAACGTCCTATTTCGAGTTTAAAGTAATCTTGGTCTCGTCCGGCCGCCGTAAAGGGGTTGGGTTTAGTGTTCTCCCGCCAATTTAAACCTGTGAGATGGAACCTAAAGATTAGAGGCGGTTGTGTGAGTCAGGAAGAGGGGCGGCATACTTGATTGTTTCTCTTTAGTTTCTTCGATTGCAGGTGAGGACGGGGAGTTGCGCTGTGTAGGGAACTGGGGGTGGGTTCAGGACGAAGTAACTGCAGCCTCTCCTCAGTTCCTGTTTTTCCCTTTAACGCCGTCAGGAGAGAGGTTGGAGTCGGTTTTTGCGGGCGGCGGTGTCCAGCGGAGAGCGTTTAAGTACGGAGGCCTAACTGACAAGTGTTTCATCTTGCTCATTCTCTCCTGTTCGCGAATCTGTTCTGCATTCCGCCGCCAGAGTGATCTCAAAATTATCAAATCAGGCCACTCGTTTGCTGAGTTCCCCTCTACCCCTTGTACTGAGAATAAAATTCAATCTTGAAGTCGAGGTTTTTTGGGCTCCACTGCTCTCTCCCTCACTGTCTTCTACTTTTGCTTTCACCCGGCAGCAGCATCAAACGCTTCCTACCCAGCCTCTGAGCCTTTGCACTCTGTTCCCTCTGTCTACGTCACGTTCCGCCTGAGTTTTGCGTGCTTGACTTCTTGTTATTCAGGTCTCAGCTCAGATGTCACCTCCTTCCCTTCCCAAACAAATCCTCCTTCAGCGACGCCTCACCTCATCCATTTAATCACTGTTTCCTTCAAATCATTTAGCACTTTTTGCAATTATTTGTACATTTGCTTTTTTTGTAGAGGTAGCGTAACAAGATGTGTATTAACTATTTTATTTTTGTCCGTTTTTCCCGCAAAAACATAAACTTCGTAATGGCAAAGACATTTTGTGCTTTGTTCAAGCTATACTGCCAGCTCCTACAAAGGTGCCTGGCACATATAAATAGGTATTCAGTAAACATCTGTTGAACAAGTAAATGTGGCAGTTATGGGCGGTTTCTCTATTTCACAGATGTGGGAAATTGAGACCTATAAAGGTATTCATTCCAGCCTGTCCCTCCTTCTTCATCTCCTCACTCCCACCCAAACACCAGTCACTAAAACTGTTCTCTATTCTCCAAACATGTTTTGTTTCTGTTCCCTTGCTTATGCTCTTAGGAAGAACTCTTTCAACGTTTATAAAACTATGATCTTCAATTCTCAGCCCAAGTGTTACCTGCTTCCACTAACAACAAATTAGCTAACACCTAAAATTGAATGTTTGCCATCAACCAAGCATTGTTCTGTGAACATTTAAAACTCAAAACATTGGGAGTCTGAAGCAGAAAGATTGCTTGAGCCCAGGAGATCAAGGCCAGCCAGGGCAAAATAGTGAGACCCTTGTCTCTCAAAAAACCAGAAGTAAAAAATAGAAAACTCCTTCAGGTGGGTACAACTACGTTAGTCCCTTGGTATTGGTATCCACAGGAGATTGGTTCCGGGACCTCCCACAGATACCAAAACCCTGGGATGCTTAAGTCCCTGTCATAAAATGACATAGTATTTGCATGTAGCCTGGGAACATCTGCCTGTATCCTTTAAATCATCTCTAGACTACTTATCTTGCCTAACAATGTAAATGCGCTATGCCTGTAGGTGGAATCTAGGGATGTGGAACACATGGATATGGAGGGCCAACTATATGTATATATATGTATTTTTCCAAGATGGAGTTTCACTCTTGTTGCCCAAGCTGGAGTGCAGTGGCACATCTCAACCTACTGCAACCTCCGCCTCCCGGGTTCAAGCAATTCTCCAGCCTCAGCCTCCTGAGTAGCTGGGATTACAGGCGCACACCACTACGCCCAGCTAATTTTTTGCATTTTTAGTAGAGAGGGGGTTTCGTCATGTTGGCCAGGCTGGTCTCAAACTCCTGACCTCAGGTGATCCACCCACCTAAACCTCCCAAAGTTCTGGGATTACAGGCATGAGCCACCATGCCTGGCCTGTATATTCTTATTTTATAAATTAGAGAATTGAGGAACAGAAAGATTAAGTGATCACCCAAGGACAACTGCCTAGTCATTGTGAAAGAGCACCAAGTCAGAAATTGTTTCTTCCTTGTGCTATACCTTTTATAGATATTAAAACATACTTCTAGTAGCACTTATGAAACCAATTGTAATTATTTGATTATCATTCCCTACCAGTCTTGATCCAAGGATTGTTTTTCTCCTCAGTGTTCTTTTCCCACCCAGACTCCAGGTAATATGGTTTATGTAAACCTTTACTTTTTCAGATGGTTAAACCTCATAAGGTTTCAAGCTTAGTCTTTGGTCCAGAAACCTAATTCATTTTTTTCTCCTTCCCTAATCATTTTTATTTGTTGTATAATAATACTATGATAGCATTAATGGACTTTTTCTGAACTTCATCTGGAAACTTATCCTATGATATCCCAGACAATCTGGCAATTAAACCTACACTGTTTGCTGCTATACTGATTAAAGGTTTATTTCTAATGAAAACTTGGTATAATTCCAAACTAGACACACAAAAGTAGTGGAAGCTCTAGGATACATTGGTAAGATCAGAATTGTTGGTCTGTGTGCATAAACCAATATGTTCTCTGGTAACCATGATAGCTCTAGTTCCATTTATGTTATTGGCCCAAAGTGTTTAGTGGCCACAGCAATAACAAGAAGGCAAGGATGTCTGTATATGTTAATGTTAGACTTTTGTTTTTGTTTTGTGAGTAAGCTTTCTCATTTCCCAAGGAACCGGGTTCTATGCAACAAGATAATATGGTGTCTAATTTTATGTTGTTACAGGAAAGACAGTGGTTCCTGACTCAGGAAGACAGTCTCAGAAACATGTGGAATGATATTGAGCTGCTAACAAATGATGATACCGGAAGTGGGTACCTGAGTGTCGGTTCAAGAAAAGAACATGGAACTGCTTTATATCAAGTAGATATGCTAGTGAAGATCTCTTCTGAAAAGGTAGTGATTATTACACTGACTGTTTCATTAACAGAATTTTTACTGGGTGCTTAGTAGGGCTACTGGCCCACAGTAAATATTTTGTGAATGAATATAGCACTTCCTCAAGGAATCAAGATTCAATCTCAGATTGCTAGAAATTCACATCTGAATACCCTCTGCATCATGTTAGGATCAGTATTTTCACGACTGAAGGATTCTTAGTTCCTCTTGATATTTCATGCATGCTAAATATGTGTAAGTTGACGCGAAGAGCATTTTTTTTTTTTTTTTTGAGACAGAGTCTTGCTCTGTCACCTAGGCTGGAGTGCAGTGGTATGATCACGGCTCACTGCGATCTCTGCCTCCCAAGATTCAAGTAATTCTCGTGCCTCAGCCTCCCGAGTAGCTGAGATTACAGATGTGCGCCACCATGCTCAGCTAATTTTTTGTATTTTTGTAGAGATGGGATTTCACCATATTGTCCAGGCTGGTCTTGAACTCCTGGCCTCAAGCAATCCACCCACCTCAGCCTCCCAAAGTGCTGGGATTACAGGTGTGAGCCACCGTGCCCGGCATACAAAGAATATCTACCACTAACGTAGGAAATAAAATGTTACCAATAGAGTTAAAGGCTCTGAGGGTCCATCCCTGAATCTGTGTTCCTCCTGTTCCCTACCAGACTCAAGCACCCTGCTGAGTATGAGGTTTATCCATGCATTTCTTTCTACATTTTAACTTTCTTCTGTTAGTAATTGCACCATTCTTGCTCCATACCTGAAACCTTATTCTTTGCCTTGCATAGAAGGTACTATTAGGTGGGTGTGGCGGCACGCACATATAGTCCCAACTACTTGGGAGGCTGGTATTTAATTCTTTTTTTAATTAAAAAATTTTTTAATTTTTACTCAAATGGATTCTGACAGATAATTCTCTTAATAAAAAAACCTAGAGCAAAAGACAGGGCATCCACTGGGGATGTTATTCCTAAACAGAATGAAATTTATGCTTTTGACTTTTTTTTTTAAACTGGCTGATGGGATTTAAAAAAGAAATCATTCTTTTTTTTTTTTTTTTTTTTTTTTTTTGAGACAGAGTCTCGCTTAGTCGCCCAGGCTGGAGTGCAGTGGCTCGATCTCGGCTCACTGCAAGCTCCGCCTCCCGGGTTCACGCCATTCTCCTGCCTCAGCCTCCCGAGTAGCTGGGACTACAGGCGCCCGCCGCCTCGCCCGGCTAATTTTTTGCATTTTTAGTAGAGACGGGGTTTCACAGTGTTAGCCAGGATGGTCTCGATCTCCTGACCTTGTGATCCGCCCGCCTCGGCCTCCCAAAGTGCTGGGATTATAGGCGTGAGCCACCGCGCCCGGCCAGAAATCATTCTTTGTGCTGCTTTAAGCTTGTGTCTGTTGAACTGTGCTGCCTTTTTTTTTTTTTTTTGAGACGGAGTCTTGCTCTGTCACCCAGGCTGGAGTGCAGTGGCCGGATCTCAGCTCACTGCAAGCTCCTCCCCTCGGGTTCACGCCATTCTCCTGCCTCAGCCTCCCGAGTAGCTGGGACTACAGGCACCCACCACTTCGCCCGGCTAGTTTTTTGTATTTTTTAGTAGAGACGGGGTTTCACCGTATTAGCCAGGATGGTCTCGATCTCCTGACCTCATGATCCGCCCGTCTCGGCCTCCCAAAGTGCTGGGATTACAGGCTTGAGCCACTGCGCCCGGCCTTTTTTTTTTTTTTTTTTTTTTTTTTGAGACAGAGTCTCACACTGTTGCCTAGGCTGGAGTACAGTGGTGTGATCTGGGCTCGGCTCACTGCAACCTCTGCCTCCTGGGTTCAAAAAATTCTCCTGTCTTGGCCGGGCGCGGTGGCTC